GTCTTTACTACTTGCATTATCAAAACCCTTGGGTTAAAACCATCCCTTAATTAAAATGAAAATGATTTGATGGTTAAAGGAGTCATAGAAACTTGCGCCTAAATCAATTACAAGAAACTGGATGCACTAACCTTGCCCATGTACAGTACACGTATAAAATGCTCACTCTGCTTATTCTCGTATAGCTCAATAATTAGGTCAGCTGACCAGGGCGGCCAGTGATCAACGTCGATGTTCAACACGGCCAACAGGGGCATTAGAGTTGTGTCATGGCCAGAATACATGTATAACTTTGGGCACCTACAGTACATATATATAATAAAGGACGTAATTAATAAACTGAGCCTTTTCTAGGTAGAATAAGAATATTACCTGCAAATATATAATTAGCATATTTAACAGACCTCTCTGGATCACCTGAGGTAATACTGCTGTTACACATACAGTATTTTCAGCAAGATGACATTATCAGTGGTAATTAATAATAATAATAATAATAATAATAATAATAATAATAATAATAATAATAACAATAATAATAATAATAAGAAGAAGAAGAAGAATAATAGTGTATTTTTGTATAGTGCTGAAATTAATTAGTGTTTATGCTGCTAGAGCAGTGAAAAACAGCAAGTTTGAGAAAATGATAATTCCTACTACATCTCATTATCCATCATATAGGGACGTGTGGCACAGTGTGTAAGATCTTAGATTCCTGATCGCGAGATTAGGAGTTTAAGGCCGACGCTTATCGCATTGCTTGTGTCCTTGGGCAAGGCACATTTTTCCATTTTCCACCCATGAGTATAAATGGGTACCTGGTAGGATGGCATAGCATTAAAAGTATGGTTGTGTATATAAAGCAGCATGACTTGGGATAAAAAAAAATAAATAAATAAATATATAAATAAACAAATAAATAAATAATAAATGTACATATACTTATAAAGAGATTTAATCTAATCAGCTATCAAGGTAACATGTATACCAAAGATCTGTTATATGCTGCCTGCATTTCAGTAACACAAATAATACCGTTATAAGCATACCGTTTCTTTTCAATTGAGTTGCCTATATTCTCCAAGATGAGGTTTACAAGCGGTCCAACCATCAGAGGAAATAAGTGGTGTTGCTGCGAGTGGTTGTCTTTATGTGCTATCATCTGGAACATAGTGATATCGATGGCATGGCGTTCGATCATATCGAGAAGAGGCTCAAAGAAGGTGGGATAAGATAAGCCATGAGCCTAAAAAATGGAACAATAAAGTCATGTCAAAGACCTGAAATTTGATTAGATTTATCTGGTATCACAGTAACAAATGAAAAACAAAAAATGCAAAATCAAGAGGCACAGAGTCAAAAGTTATGATATCTGTGAAAACCCACTTGGATTTATTCGGTGTAAACACCAGAGATAACCTGTGAAAGTCTGAAAAAGATTATTTTCAGTAGGGTCCTTCTGGTGGTGATTGGACGGTACACTGGAGACTAAATCTATTTATAAATATATGTACATTTATTATTTATTTATTTGTTTATTTATGTATTTATTTATTTATTTTTTTTATCCTAAGTCATGCTGCTTTATATATTCTTTTCTGAAGAATATACTGCGTTCTTTAATGTGCACATGGGCCATAAAGCACACAGAATCAACGGCTTAAACGTCTCATCTGAAAGACTGTGTGCGCTATTGTAACCTGCATTCAGCCCACCAGCTGAAATACAAGGAGACCAGCGATGCGAATTGAGTCGGGGACCAAGAAATTTCCATGATCTCTTCAGCGTACACACAGTGGCTCTCACTGAGCTAAGCTGCTCTGAATTCTAACACAGGATTATAGGGGATTTAGAGGGGTCCCAAAACTATACAAGAAAAATAATCTTGGAACAATACACATTCCACAAGATTTGTTCACAGCCGGTCATGCGACATAGTGGGTATTACTATGGAGAATTTACAATGTGATCAGTGTTAAAGTATAGGAAAGGGTAATGTTATGGTTTCAAAAACATTCGCCCACAAATTAGAAATAACTGGCAAGGAAAGGCACTACGATTCTTCAAAATAATTCTTATTTACTTACTCTAGCTTTCAAAGTGCTTTGTATGCTTTCAATTTATGTGATCCTTTGTACACCCCTAAGCTAACCTAGAAATCGTAGTGTCTCAATACTTGGGGCTAGTATCTTTTGAAGCATTAGCAAACCATAATGGCAAAATTCTCAAGTTCAATATCCAATCAATTTGGTATAGTTTACTGGCATCCCAACCAACATTATTCAACATCAAATATGTGCTCTACAGCACAAACTCCGAAATAGGCCATGCATTTTCCAATTACCGAGCGTTGCTCGCACTGCATGTTTACAATTGAAACCCACCATACGTCATATGACCAACCTAGCGGTATGTGTCTATTTACTTACCAATCTGGCAATAAGGTTGTCGCGAATGCTGACTATGTCTAGATGATGGTGGTCTTCATGCAAGTCAATCAATTCTTGCAGTTGAAGTCGACCATGACGCACTCCAGGAACTACGTCTGTGTTCTTACAGATATTGTCGACAAATTTTCTCACAGCTTCGCAACCCTGCCAGTTGGGGTACAGGGTTTCAGACTCACTGTCAGCGAGGTAGATTTTCACAGGATCTAGATGAGAATAAGGTAAGGTATTTGATAAGATGGAATAATAAAATACTGCCAAATAACACATGTCACTCACAGGTGTTTGTTAACAGTTTACATTAGGCGCGATCTCCAAATTATCACAGACGGCAAAAACGCGTCTAGGTCAACACCCTATCGCGAAACGCGTCTGAGAAATCAACTATTCTAATTACCACGCTATATGAATATTCATTTGCTACACGTTTGAATTACGGCTCGCGTCTTGACGACGGTGAATCGTTTGGACGCATGTTGAACCATTTTCTATTGTTTTCTTATACATACATGTGGCTATACTTTTTCTATGCTTAAATGAAGATTTGTAAATTACATGATTACAACGTGCCTGGAGGTCCAGGGCGTGGTATGCGCTAAGCGAGTTTTATTGGAATTCGCTTTGTACGCCGCTCTGTAGATAGAACTACGTCGCGACTCTGAAAATAGCGCTGACATTTTCTTTGCAAAAGTGATGGAGGGTACATTGTCATTACAAATCACAAACATACTTCAAATATACTTTAAGTGCCATGGTAAGTCGGCGTCACATTCTGGCCTAAATATAAAATTAAATCTAGACCTAGTTAGGTAGTCTGCCTATCTTTTTTTATCCTTGCGCGGATAGTTACTCAAAATTTTCTGAGGCTACTCTCTACTGTGTCCCGTACTGTGTATACTATGCAGCAGTGCAATTTCTTTACTGCAAGTTCTACTGTAGGTCCTCCGAATTGAGAGATGTATATTTGGTTGACTAGTAAAATTTAGATAAAGACATAACTTGTCATATTAACAACAAATCATGAGCTTTAGTTTCGATTTATTAGTACTGATCGAACTACCGAGTGCTCTTTCAAATAAAACTGCAGCGATCTCGAGGTCGAGCCTTGGTTGGGTGCAGAGAGCAGGGCCCAGAACCATGTGTGTAAATAAGTAAAGTACTGGGTGATTTAGAACTGTCCATTTTCAAACGGGGTATAAAATTTTTTTTTTACAATTCCTTATTTTTAGTTGTTTTTCATTCTTTTATACATTGAACACACAAAATTTATGTGTGCCGCTGAAACATAAGTGTATGTTCAGTTGAATAAATAAATTACAGTAATATCGCGAGTTGTCAGTAAAACCTTTTCTGGGTAGGCAATGGTTTAGTCTTACATGTTTGTATGTCGAAATTCGTGGTGAAATTCGGCATAAAAAAAACGTATTTCACATGAAATTCACGTAAATTCAATTAATAAACTTTGTTTTATAAAATGTAAATATAATTTAGCTTAGTATGATGCAAAATTTCATCTACTTTGATCATGGACGTTTTCGGAGCATGGGTCTTAGCATGTGATCCCTTTCAACGGCAAGGAGAGCAATTAATTGCTGTGCTGGATGTTACCACAGCTGCACAGGATGGTGATCGCGCTTCTTAAAACTGATGGTGGCCAGCGACTCCAGCTGCGACTACATCGGAAATAACTAAAAAAAAAAATTGGATTTTTTATCGTTATATTTGTTCATCAATTCATAAAATCACTGAATATTGCGACAGTCTCACCTATGCACGGTACTAGGCCTACTAAACGTTGACGTCCCAACACCCAACTGACTATTTTTTTTAGCATGGACCACTGACTTCCTTTAGTTTACCATAGTTTGGCCATAGTTAAAGGGGAGGAGCGAAGCCAAAATGGAATATCAGCAACCAAACGATGTGCTAATCAAACGTTGTTTTCAGATGCGTTTTGGTAGAACAATAGAAAACGCGTCTGAACGCTGATTTGTCATCTGGGATAATTTGGAGATCGCGCCTTAACTCATTATTAAATTTTACAATGAAGATTTTAAATCTATTAAATATTTTACTAATCTATAAATAACTTAATATTTACATTGAACAAAGCTGACAATAATTCATAATTGATTTATTATTCAAATAGTTAACTATAATGTTCATTTTATCTTTTATTCAATTCAATTAAACTTTCATTTCAGAAATTTAAAATCCATAAATGAAAAAAAAACCACATTAACAAAGTTAGTACAAACTAAAATACATACATATGTGTGCTTAGCAAATGTTGGGAAGGAGAAAAAATGCTGTTGCACAAATTAGTTCACAAAACAAAATCGAGAGGAATTTCACAATTTCCCCCTTCCTTCCCTAATCTTACCTGATTTCAAACTCTTCAGAGACTTTCCATACAGACCGGCAACAACGCATCTAAGTGAAGCAATCGTCCGAGCAATGTTTGTTGATCTAAAGCTACAAAAACAAGTAAAAATTTAACATACAATAACTGTCTGTACTAAAATCTGAAAAAATAAACTTCATACATTCAATCAAAAGATTGATTTGCTTATTTATAAAAGCCAAACAAGTTATTAATATCTAATTATACACACATTTTAAAAATTCAATTTTTCTTGAATTTGTTCATAGGAATTTACTTAGTAAAATAGTATTATAATTATTATATATATGCAATTTTTTTTCTTATCATCACCCATCGACCCCACAATATGAGTGTAGGCTGAGAAGTATTGTTCATGCTTCTTTTGCTGAAGACCCAGTTGCAAACCTAGACAGCATCTGGTATTAATATTTGTATTCTTATGTATCCGTTATTAAGTGTTGTAGTTAAGTCAGGTGGTGTTGCACTGCAGCTGCCATGGATCCCCAAGGGCCCAGCCCAAATTTCCGATTTCCAATTGAATGAGGACCAATAAAGGTTTATTATATTATTATGTATGGTAACACCCTAAACCTATTCAGACCATGGATTTGCATTCCCTACCCCCTTAGACCATGAATGTGGCCTTATTGCCACCACCAAAGAGATGTATTCACTGCTGTCTGTTTAATTAGAAAACTAATTAATGGATCATCCCAAAATTTAGTGAAATGGTACATAATAATAATAACAAATATTTATATAGCGCCAATTCAAAAATTTATCAAAGGCGCTAGATGAGGAAATAAAGCAAGTTGAATAATACCGGTAATCAAAACACCATTCAATTTTCGGAAAAGGTCAAAGGACAAGATCAGGGTTACGGAAATTCAATTTTTTTACCTTTGCGGATAAATTAGAATATAGAATCACCCCACATATTCAAGCAGCACTCAGAAAAACAATGTGTCTGAACACGATGGGCGATTCCATTATTTTCTTGAGGGTATTCTGTCGTACTCAAGAAGACAATGTGCCTGAATACAACAGGCAATTCCATTATTTCATTGAGGCTGTTGCTTCGCCTATTATATACGGCCTTCATATTGTTGATACTGTATTCAGGCACAGAGCTAAGGTATGGATTCTATGAAGTGACTGCTCTAGTTTATGCATGTTTTGCTTTTTTGTTACAATAAATCAATTATTCAATCAATAACTTTTAGATCAATTTAAATGTTACAATAAATAGAGATGTTTTCATAGGTCACAATAAATTCAAGATTATGATATCCTGTTCCTCAGGGGTTAAAAATTGTACACTTATATAACATGAAATGACAAATGGCAACCCAAGAGAATAACGTGTTTTCTTTAGGCTAGATTTTAGACTCAAGTATTATTGATGTTTGCTGCAACATCATCTTTCTGGCTATTTTCGTTGACTGATTGACCGGCCAAGCATGTTGAAAATGTCAACATTTTAAAGCTTTCTGTCACGGTGAACTGGGTGTTATGTTTACATTATCATGAATGAGATCATTCACAATCAAATGATACAAAAAAAAATCAAATGTTGTGTAAAACAGGGTCTCCATTTCAAGTCTTTATCCGAGAAGACTAACCAGTGAGGATGTTAAGGCTATTGTTAGCAGCGCCCCTTAGACACTCCACTCAAAAATTCAAAATAGATGACATTGCTTATTATTTCTCTTGTCAGTAGCCATGCATGATGTGCAACATCCTCTGCTCTCTAGGGAATATTTCCATTCCTGAATTTAACCTAGCAGTCACTCATTTCTTTCCAGATAATTCTTATCATTCTAGGTACCCCTTCACTTACTGTATACATAATTTGTAAGTAGTTTTTTCAGGGCTTACACGTTATCAGCAAACACATTAATTGGTAAATGTTTCCTGTTCACTTACTAGTGTGTGACATTTATCACAATGGTTGGGTTTGAGAGCAAACCTTTTTAAAGATTACTGTAAATAATTAAATCATTTAATATCATTTGATGATGATGTTGAATACTGTATCACAATCATTGGAATTTGATAATAATAATAATAATAATAATACAATCGACCTTCCCATTTACGTACACCTTGGGCTGAAAACAGTTCGTAATTGAGAAAATTTGTAAATGAGAAGTTCGTAAGAATAGCGCCCTCAAGTTTAAAAATGCCAAGTTGTAGCCTATAACTAGGCCTGCCTACCAATATCTAGGCTTAATTTTGCATTAAGTGTTCAATAAACATTTATAGAAATCGTTGAAGAATCAATTAAATGTTAATACAAGACAAACTAATTTAATAAATATCGATTCATAATAGGCTAAGGAAATCATTCCATGGATAGACCGAATCTTCCATGTCACTATAGGCTGACTGTTCAACATACAGTGTGGTGGTTTAGCTGGGCCTAGCAGCAGCTCTCTGCTAACTATAGCTAGGCCTCTGTCCGTAATTTATAGCAAATTACTCAAGAAACATTGATATTAATTTGTATTAAAAGCACTGGGCTTATTATTTATTTAAGTCAAGGTATTTTTGTATAAATTAAAAAAAGAAAATGTTCCTATTTTTCCGACCTTCCTGACTTCCAAACATGTGGTTTTGGTACCTGTAGCGTTGAATGATGGGTAATTGCTGATGTCATCTTCTAAAAATAGAGCAGCTTGCTAATCGTTTTTTTTTTTGACAGTGAAAAACAAATAATTAATACAGATGCTTATTGAATATCCGAACAGTGATTTATTCTTAAAAGGATAAAAGGTTGATGTTACCATACATTAATACACGGACTAGCTGATTTGATTTACAGTGCATTTAGACCGCAGTTAACCATAAGACAGAGTAGGGTAGGCCCCCTGGTATAGGCTGCCCAGCCTTGTCCTTAGCCTAGACAAGGTAGGCCTAGCAGCAGCATGCACTGCCTGCCTGAATTTCGCCTAGTTTTGATTATTTTACATCATGTATTGGTTTGACTTTTCTAAGCCTAAAGTAGTATGATGTATTTATGGAATGTACTGTATAACAAGTACTATAATGCAATTTTTAATGACCTTTGTAATTCGTTTTTCTTAAAATAAATAAAAATAGCATAAATAAGATGAATAAATCTAGCGATGACGTCATCGGCTGAACGTTCGTAAAATAGAAGGTTCGTAAATGAGAAGTTCGTAAATGGGAAGGTCGACTGTAATAATAATATCCTACATATCTGAGTGTTAGCAGAGGGGCTGCTAACTACAGCCATAATGGGGCTAGTTCACCTTCTCGCATAAGGACTTGAAATGGAGGTCCAGTGTGCACATCTGGTTTGTGTCCACTTAAAAAAGCACAGTGCATCTTTTGGAGGACTAAGGGGTTGAACATGAAGCTTTTTTACGGCGGATAGGTAGTCGCAGACCACGCCCATATGCAATTCAGGACATTCATGCTGCAAGCAAGTTATAGGTCATTCTTCTACATTTACCTATTTTAATAACCAAATATAATTATTATTCATAATCATATTATGTCCAATACTTACTAAATATCAGTGGAGTTGAATTCAGTAGACAGGTATCCAATTTGATCGACATAATGTTTTCTATAACTTTTGCCAAGGTTGTACATTTGATTCATACCACGGGCTGTCAACTGTCCTTTGAAGGATCCACCCTAGAATTATAAGTCACTTTGGTATTGGCATACAGAAATACTTTCACTAGTGACAATATGGATAATAAAAAAAAATTTTCTTTCACGTCTTAAAATATTGAGTGTTAAAATCAACAGTGTTTGATCAAACTTTCTAGAACAGATGTAGATAACTTCAGTCTGAAAGAGTTTTAATCAAACATTGTCTGCTGCATCTGACTTATCAAAAGAATACAGATTGGGAGGAATATAGCACATGGAATCAAGACCTTTAATGAAATTGGATGCTGTACTGTTTAAAACCAGATATTGTTATGCAATCACAATAGGTTAAACGAAATTTACTTACAGATAGTCGTTCTCGTCTATAGAGTGTCTCCACGTGTGCTTCAGGCCTTGGACCACCATCAAGATTGCATAGATCATAATCAATATAAGTATCTGGAGCACCCTCAAACAGTTTCTTCTCATCCCAGTTAGCCTATAGGCACCAGAAACAAATAATATTCTTCTCAGTGTCTGAATGACACTATATTAGATGTTAGAAATAGTGGCAGAAGAACAGATGGGATGACACATTTAGATGCCCAAAATTGCAGTCCGAGACTGTAAAAATGCTGATCAAAGCAGTGTTCCCTGACGATTGCCTTCTTTTTGGGGAAATCCTTCTTTTTGGGCATCTTCTTTTTGGGATTGTTTCCTGACGATTGCCTTCTTTTTTGGCATAGTTCAAGGGTTCCCTAAGTGGGGGTCGTGTTACCCTTGACCTACTGTAGCCATATGTAAAAATAACATTGAATACCGTAAAACTTCTAATAATAACCCTACAGTAGGTTACTATTCTTTGATTGTTAATAATAGTAATCCCCTACCCATCCCCAGCTTTTTGCATCAGTAATTCATAGAAATATATAACTACAATATGAGTAAAAAAACTTTGTCCACCATTCCCAATTCCCCCCCCCCACCTCCCATTTATATGCACTATTTATTTATTTTATTTTTTTTTTATCTATTATTTTTTATAAAAGTGGAAGTAATGGTGAAATAAGTCTGCGAACATGGACTGGTGTCTTGACGAAATGTTGGAAAAATATTGGTCGATGAACTACCAAAGGTTATACTGAAATATCCTTATTTTTAATCAAAATTGGATTGCTCTGCATTAAGGAAAATTACTAAGGAGTAAATTCAAGAAAGAATCATCAACGGAGCAATCACATTGTGAAGAATGCCTATTTTAAGGAATAAATCATGTTAAAGCAACAAAATGTTGATTTGAAATTAGATGTCATCTGTAGTTTTGGTGTCTCTAATAGTAATCCCATGGGTTATTAATAGAGTAATGGGTTAATATTTAAGGTTTTACATTATCCCAATTTGTTTGCTTCTGTGATTTTTTTGGATGGGACATACATTTGGAGATGTACAAACATATACTTCACAAAAAAAAATTGTGGGAGAGGAAGAAAGGAAAGAGACAAGTTTGCATTGGTACAAAAATTAGCCAATTTATATTATCTGTACTTTAAATAATATTTTGCATTTAATTATTGTTGAAACATAAGTATCCTTTTCTTTTAATGTATTACTGTAATTTGATATTTGAAAATCTATCCTTGTTATGTTTATATAAATTCATAAATAAAATAATAAAAATTTTTTATTATTCATTAAATATTATGTAAATTAATTATGAAAAAAAGCAATTATTCATACTTTTTCAATATTTGGTATAGTCCTGACTGGCGTTCTAGCACCATGACGGAAGAATATTTGGACGGTTTTAAGACGCAGACTTGGATCCGAAACTTGGTCTATCGCATGGTCCGGAGAGCGCATGAATGTAGCCCGAGATCGAACACTATCCACATCCATGTTACAGCTCAGAGTCTTAGCGGCAACCACACCGCTCACAGCCCACAGTATATTAACTGTCTTCTTACGCACCATAAGTCACTGAAAAAATTACAAAAATTATAGTTGCTGGAAGTTTTATGGCATCTAATCATTAAATAAGCAGCAAAAGTTGGATGGTGTCTAAGGAAAACCTCAAGGTAGAAGCCATTCCTCAAGAGAAAGAGTAGTAAGTACACCTTGGGAAAGCTAAATGATTTGCAAGAATTAAAAACATGCTAATTATGATGTGAAGTGCCTCATGAAACAGTTCAAAGTTAATAATATAGGATCGAGGTGAATCAAGCATGTAATATGCTTGATTTGATAATATAATATTTTTACCCTCAGCTTTGTATAAGAAATTCACTATTTAAACAACACTCTCTATGCACTGGTTTTTTGCATGTGTTAGTCTTTGGCTTATGCCTGTGGGAAATTTATCGGTTTATCCAGGTTAAGAATTCTTGAAATAGACTTAGTAGTTACTACCAGTAGTTGGGATTAAAGCTAGGCCTAGGCTTAGTATTAAGTAGAAGATTTAATTTAGTAGCATATTGTAGCTACCAAGCCCATACTGTAAAGTTTTTTAATTGAGTGGATGGTACTTCAAAGACCAGCTCAAATTTGCACAGGAAATCACTAGGAAAATAGTAATGTTTATTATATTAAGATTAGGTTAAGGCCAAATTTTTGGCAAAATCGTCTGCGCAAAAATTTGGCCTAGAAATCTGTCTGCACATTTCAGAAAATAATGGAAGATTTCCGTGCAGATTTTGCAGAATATTAGGCTTTGATCAAATCTTAATTTAACCAATGCAATTATGCAGCAATTACGATTCCGCGTATATATTTTCCTGGCGATTTTCCATGCAAATTTGAGCTGATTTCTTAGGTACCCTCTGTGTAATTAAAAAACTTTACAGCATGGCAGCCCCCTAAATAAAAACTCAAGCCTCAAGCTTTTGGAAAATCTCTTATATATATAGATAATTTAAGGCCTAGCCTCGGCCAAAGCAGGCCTATGTCCCTAGGTAGGCCTAATCTATAATATTCGGATCCCATTCCCAGGTCAGGGTCTAGTAACAGGGCGCGGGGTCCACGGACCAAACAATTCATGCCATGGCTATGCCTAGGGGCCTTGGCAAGGATAGCTAGCTAGGCCTAGCCCAGCCTGCCCTAGTTTCGAGTACGCTAGTAGTAGTACTATAGAGGCCTAGACTAGGCCTAGGAATGGCCTGTTGTTTATAATTTAGTAATACGGTGTGCTAGCTTAGACTTATATAAGGCGTATAGTTAGTAATTACCTTTATAAAATAACATTTAAGATTCTGAAAGCTGAAAACAAGTGATATAACCTGCAACTCCTCACACCACCGATGGAGCATAAAAATGTAAAATTTGGTTTTGTTTGCTTGTTCGTTTTGTAAATTAATTATTGTCACGACAATCGGCCGATGAGGGCTTTTAAACACCACTGCAGTCTGAAGACTAGCTGCAGCCAGTTTAGGGTCCTCAGCAACATTTTCATTTGTTTAGGCGAGACTTTTTTATTCCTTGTTTCACGTACTTATTTCTTTTAAAGATTACCTATATTAATAATTTAATTATGTTTTTCATTCAGAATGATACCAAATCCCATACAATTTTTTCCCATTATTTCTTTAATCCGATTCGCGGCTTATGATCTTTTACGCCCCGGCAGAAGCTGTAAACCAACAAAAATAGAGCACCGTATAGAATATTATTTATTTAAAAAAAAGGCTCAACACAAAAGTGGGAACCTCTTGACATAAAATATAATACAAAGTCACGTTACAAAAATAATAGAACAACAAGGTAAACATTTATAATACTGTACATTAAAAATTACTATTAAAAAAAATAGTAGGCCTATAAATAAACCTTGTTATTTAGAATCCCTGGCTGGTTAAACCAAAGAGTATAAATAGAACAAGAGAGCAAAGTCCCGTTCGTAAAAACGTCATGCCTGTGTAGGACGCCCACTAACGGTTGTATACTCTTTGGTTAAACCAAGGAGATGTTAAACGCCCGTAGGGCCTATAGAAAATATATTTGCTGTTACTCGTTGAAGAAAACAACTGTGAAAGCTGGTCAAACCTTAAAAATACATTTAAAACGTTCGGAATCGCTAATTTATAAAGTGATGATTATTATCATTTCAAATTAATAGGCAACTTCAAATCTAGGAACTTGTGCAGAGCCTACATCACCAACGGGATCACAAATCAAGCAATTTCAAATATGACGTTGTAGTTCACAGTTTTATTAAAGCTCAACATGTCTATCTTTTTTTTTAGGATCAAACTCAGGATCCGACAACATTATTTAAGTCATAGTCTATTTTCGGCATGATCTTCAATATACAGATTGAGGCGATGATAGAAGATTTGCATTTTGTGGCAGCATGGAGCTCTCAGCTGTTTCAGTTTATATAGATAGTCGTGGTCTATTTCATTTACAGTAATTAGATTTCATGTGTTTAAAATCGGTATTTCATAGATTGGTATAGATAAATTGAAAACTATGATATTGATTGATTAGTTATTGGTTGATTGATAAATTAATTGAAAGAGCTATTTATTGTTTTTGGCTGGTCGACTGATCGATAAAAAATCAATCGATCGACCGATTTACTAACAGAATAAACAAGTACACCTAAATGATTGAGTAATGATTATAGATTTCACGCGTTTAAAATCGGTATTTCATAGATTGGTGTAGATAAATTGAAAACTATGATTAATTGATTGATTGATTAGTTGGTTGATTGATAAATTGATTGAATGAGTTACTTATTGTTTGGTTGGTCGATTGATCGACATATACCAGACTCACTCCATATAACAGCTATTATTATCACAAGATTTTGAGTCTTTAACCTAGCAACAATTAGGCTATCCATCTAATACCTCTTACAGCCAGCTCTCACTGCATGGTAAGATGGTAGTACGACTGTCGGCCAATAACTTGAACTCAGTTCCTGTGAACGTTAGACGACGCGATGCTGTTTTTGCGGTTGTTGGTGCCAGCCTGAACATCATGGTGTTGCGTTCTCCAATGAATCACATCGGCCAACGACTGTCAGGTGCATGAGGGCTCGGCTCATAAAGGTCATATTTAGTATTTTAACCCACTTAGTGGAACTAATTTGGATCATGGGGAAGGGGGTGTGTCTCTTATACAATCATGGCTTGCATTATTTTGCAATGGCAGCATGTTTATTATAGTTTGAAGGGGCGAAAAGATGAGCGTACACTATTACAGTGTCTATAATTACTGTATACAGAAAATAGGATTGTAAACAATTTTACAAGATAAACATTAACAATGATGATGATAAGGAGGAGGATGATCCGAAACAACCCATGTGCAAAGGAAATAAACACAGAATTATGAAGAATTAATACTAGAATAAGTGTGGTTATATTGCAGAAGAGCTGGAACTTAAAAAATAAATTGAATAGACATTTGGAAATTTTGAAAGAGAAATAAACTGACCAATGACCAGGGATGTACATAGGCCTGCTCAGCCTTGCAGAACAAAAACATTTTTTTGTCATTCTATGTCGGATCATGGACCTATCCTTGTTAGCAACAACCATTATATACAATACTATAAACTTACTAAGATAAGAAGTACACAACACATGTTATACAATTCTAAAGATACTTTAATTCTAAACTGAAGACATAAAAGTCTATCATTAATCAATACCGTACCTCCTTTTCAACGTAAAAAAAAACATACATATGAAAAAAAAAATATGAAAAAAAACATTAACTTTTTCTTTGTCAATAGGTTTTGAATATATTTATAGAACGCCAAGAAAATCAATAAAACACTGTCATGCCTGTTATTAGTATTTCACTGGAATCTAATCAAATAAGTGGGCAATCTTCTCATTGGCAGAAAATAAATTAAAACCACATCAAACTTTCTGTTATTAAAAAAACTAAATAATTTATATATATTTATGATCTCCCACCCCTTCTTGATACCCACTTCTTGTCGACACCCACCTTCTTGACACCTACCCACCTCTTATCGACACCAAGTTTGTTAACAAGCCTGCCTCATAAACAATTATCTTGTTCCTCTATGGAATTCTTTAAACATTATATTCTGATTCCAGAGGAACACACATAATAGCAATTAAAATGTATTTGCTCCTTAATACATTGTTGTAGCAAGAAAGTAGATAGGTAGTACCCACTTTAAGTACAGCTTCACACTTAATTCATAAAATTGAGATTAAAATGATTTGTGCCATGATAATGCTTATCTGCGTAGTTTGTGATAACAACAAATACAGTATATGCACTATCCAATAACACACATAGAATCACACATAAATTGTGACAGAAGACTAAGAATGTAGCATATCTCCCTTATTTATACACAATTGGTAGCACAAATCATTGTGTATAAATAATGTAGCAAATCTCCCTTATTTATACATAATGATGTGTTACCAATTATAACTGTAGTATCATGAATTCATATTTAAAGACCTGTGCAACAAAAATACAAGCGTAGCATCACACTTATCAACCATACAGAAATATCTGTGCTAACCAACTACGGTATATAAAGTAAACATCGAAATTCTAATATAGAGAAATTGGTGCTACCAACTTCAAATGTAGCATACTCGTCTTCATAATATGCAAAGACCTGTGCTACCAATTTCAATTGTAGTATCATTCTTATTCATATATAAAAATATGTGCTACCAATTTAAAGTTTAGTGTTACAGTTATTCATACAGTATGATCAACGAGTATAGCATCGTATGTATTCATCAGTCATCTGTGCTACCGAAAGTGTAGCATTGCAATTATTCGAACAAAAGCGGTACATGCTTCACAAAAACTGTACTTCATCAAGCCCCAGGAATTCACATTCACATGTTTGAATTATGACAATAAATTTAATCTCATCAAGCTGAATTTTTTTCACTTACTGTGGGGCATCATATGTACTATTGTATAATGTGCCCTATAGATCAACATATTGCTTCTTATTCCCTGCACTACCAAGAATTTTAAGCAATATTTTTCTACAAAAAAAAATTGATTTCAACTTATTAAATTACTACTCTAAAATTATATTTATATTAAAATCATGGTGATAAATCAACATTCACAAGGTAGATTCAACTATGAGGTAGAAAAGACATAAATTTCAGATTCAAGAATATTTATTGTTAACAAATATGATGTCTCGCAGTTTCATGCATTCAGGGATTATGTCGAAGGTGAGGACATATTAAGTATATAAACAATAACACGACAACGCAGTATTTTAGAACCACGTTCCACAAACTTTTAGGCTGGCAAACCAGTTAGAAAATTTGGGCTTGAATGGCCACCCACTGACTTTTTATCTAAAAATGCATAATTCACAAATTTAGCAATAGTACACGGTTTCAGGGCTGAGATTTTTAATTTAGATTACCATTAAAAAAAAACAAAGAATGGAAAACACAAAAATAAATATCACAACAAAAATTATAATGAACAATGAGGATAGTTAGCAGCATTGTGCTTTGTTGTATGATGGCATATTAACAAGTAAGCAGATTGATAACTTCATTGTTAAAATAACTTGTTTCACGTTATCGTAACGCCCATAATTGTTTCAGCGGGTTAATCAAATTCAGAATACAGTATCTTTATTGTAATCATAAATAACTGATTGGATATTAAAATTGTAAAAAAAATTAATATTCAAAAAGATTCAGATAAAAGCACAGTAATATAAAAAATATTCAAAAATATCCTAAAGAGAAAATCAAAATAGTTCAACGAAGAGAAATAAAGAAAATTATCTTAACAATAACTGTTTAAATTATCATAATTTTTCATTATTGGTTAACAGTTTAAAACATCTACATATTCTGCAACCATTCTATAAACGACATATCATGTTCGTTTATGTCCTGACTTTCGGCATCACCTATAAAAAAAATTACATTTATAAAACTACGAGACGACTTGTAAAACTCAATTTTAATATATTAAATCACAATTTTTTAAATACTAGTTAATGATTAACTAGCCATAAATAGTATCGTATATTTTATTCTTTACCAAATACAAAAGAAATCAATAACTATTCTCTCAGAATCTGTAATTATTCCAAATTGCTTGTTCTATCAAGATTGATTATTTTTCCAACCCTTGGGTATCAAAAGAAAATAACATATAGGATTGACAATAAATAAATAAATAAATACAGTACATACATACATACGATAATAATTGTATACTAACAGTACTTAACTATTGAAGCCAAGAGTTAAAAGCTTAGTTTTTCAGAAATGTTAACGTAGAAATTAAATTAAAAAAATTACAAATAACTACAAGCCTAAAATTATTGTTTTACCTATAAAACCAACTCAAAAACTGTCACTAAAAAAATCTATTTTGCCGAACTGATGAGCGATGATTAAACCTTGAATACAGTACAACCATGATACCAACTTTTAACCTCGTACCACAAGACGAATAAAGAAACTACAATCTAGCCTCTTAATAAAGGAAAATACATTTATTTTTACTTAAAGAATTAATAAATATATTAATAATTGCTTAAAGTTCACCATATTCTCATACAAGATTCCTAGAACAACAGTAGCAGGTAGATGATTGATTGGTACTAGTTGTAGTAAGTCTGTATAAGGTTATAATAGCACCCTGAGAGCCAAGTTGTTGCTGACAGTGACAGATCCAGGGTGGCGTATAGTGTAATGATCTAGGGTGGTGGATCCAGGGTGGTGGATTCAGAGTGGCAGATCCAGGGCGACAAAGGAGGCTTGCCCTTAAGCAGCAGTGAAGAAAACATCTAACCAAGCGTGAAATCATTTAGCTATGCAATTAAAATGGCTGAAACCTCTGGACCTTCATGTGCATAGCTCCCTGGTCCTCTACTATACAGATGGATGAATCCTCTCACAAACCTCCTTCCCCACCCCAAGACTATAAATTCCAGAAATCCTGGATTTCCCCCCTGACTTTTTAGCTGACTTGTATGTTAACATATTCATTATAAAAATACAAAGGGCTTAATTTGTGAAGCAGAACCGTCATAGTGACGAACACACCAACACATGCCACTACGAATATATACTCAATCTTGCCAAGTAATGTGTTAACAATTATAGGCGGCTTAATTATGTAATAGAATCATTCTCGTATATAGTTATGGTTTTATTTATTTTATGGTTGTAAACATTTACAAGTGTGTACTTTATACCTTTGAGAACATTCTTTAAGTACGAGTCCTCATGCGTGGAAGATACTGTACACTCAAAGGCTGTAGTTAGTGGCGCCCTGGCCTTACAGCATGGACAATTTAACTCTTGGTCCACTTATAACTTTTTATATATTTACATAGGTTTTTCTGTTAAATAACGCCCCATTCCTTCACCCTTATTCACCCTCAAAACCGACTTAATAGGATTTGAGTTGTAATATGTGTCAGCTTCTTTTAACATTTTAATCTCCTTGCAATCTATCACAAATTTTCATTTGTATTCTGCATCACCTACAAATCCATTGCATTAACATGTCACTGGATAAGAATATTTGTTAGGACGATGAAAACTGTGCTCATTCATGCATACTGGCATCTATAGATATCCATCCATATCTGTACTATAGAATCCTTTCTAAATAGATTAATCTATCCAACTTTGACCATTTGCCAGTCTCTCAGAAAACCAGAAGTGAGAAGTTAATAAAAATATTTAGAGTATTACCTAGATGTCAAAGTGCTGTTTTGTAGGTAAAGAATAATATTATACTCTTACAAAGATTGGTTCTACTTTACAGGATCAAATGCATTGGAATTAGTACTAAGGTATTCTTAAGCTGAGGCACACACCTTACGAGTAAAATTTAAAAGAATGCAAATGTAAAAGTTGGATGGCAAACCAATGGATAACATGTTGCTCAGTAAAATATAACTTGGTCACATGATTTTCCAGCATCCACCTTATGAATACACAATTTTTTTATCCCTAATTAACATAAATTCACAAGCTGAGCACTGTCCACACTATACAATTTTCTTTGACAAAAAACTGTTTTATGCCCATATATAGTCATGATGTGCCTATATATGGTCATGATGTGATGTCATCATGACGATATTTAGGATTGTCCCATGTTCATGTCAAATGAAATTTGATAGTCTAGACAGGGCTTTATACTTTGTGGCCACATTCTACAGCATGATGGGAACTTTAAGATTGTCTCAAATACACCACAATATCTGTCACTGTTTATAAACATTCATACTCTAACTAATTAATAATATACTGTACAAAATAAACCCCATTAGTAATTATTTACATCAAGTGCTGTCCATAAAATGCTCACTTGACTCCTTAGCTTGCTAGATAAAATATAGCTTTGTCCACAGTTGACTGTTACAAGTCATTTGGGGGTTTTCTTTTTTTTTTTCTTTCTCCATCCTCTTTAAGGTTTAATGAACATAAACACAGGTATGGGAATTGCTCTTTTCTGAGAAGTAAGGTAAAGCTTGGAGAAATTCAAGTTCAGCAAAAACATTTTTGTTCAATTCCTCTCTTAATGTGGCTGTAATATTTCAGAGGCTAGACTCCTTGGGAGGTAACTCTTCGACTATGAATGTCACGGGACTGGATATGTTTACCGTACGACTGAGCTGCCCTATTCTTGCTTCTACACAGCCGGCCGATAGTCGAGCCTCGGCTTCATGGTCCCAGCACTCTTCAATTGTCTCACAAAATGACTCCATCCCCTGTAAAGGAAACAGTCTCCAAATAATATAACGACGACCTTTACCCGATTCTGATTATTAAATTATTATAATTATATATTTATATTAAATTATTATATTGCCTTAATGCCTTCAGAAGAATAACAAAGATGATTTATGATCTCCTGAAGATGACTACAGCAACAAAGCTGAAATATTGTCAACAACACCGTTTATTTCAAAAAATCATTGAATGCTCAACCACAAGCATCAATCTAATGAAACTTTGAAATATTCTAAACAACACAAAAGTTATTTTAAGAATCATCTATGTGGTATATCGCAATCATTTTCTTATTGCTCCTTTACCATGGAAATCTTCAAGATTTAAAAATAAATAATTATCAGGTATAATAATACATTAAAAATACATAAAGGCATAGAATTGCCGATAGTGCGTCTGATCACAAACCAAGACTCTAATTTTACATTGTGCAAATGTTTCACATTCTGAAAATGTCTCGCATTAAATTGTTATTCTTTCAATTTCCTCAATCTGCAGAAAATGCCTAAGAGTAAATGCTATTACTATTAGATATGAAAACATAGTATCAATAATATAGCTATAGAAAACAAATGCTGTAATCTGTGTACCTTTACAGAGTTTTAAGGGCAGATTTAAATATAAAGACTCGGATGACCTAATAAAAGAAGGTAGGTCATTTCAAAGATAAGGCAAGAGGTACAGTAACAAATACAAGGTTCTTTGCCCATATGTTTTTGTGTTTATGAATTAATAGTGAAGGTTATGCGTAGAAGGATGACAAATAATGAGGGACAAGATCAGTAAGTTATGGAGTAATTTGAAAATAAAATCCATTAAATATTATCTAAAATATTTTAAACATAATGTGCATTTTAGCAGGTAGTCAAGGAGATGATTATGAGGTCTCAGGGTAATTTGGAGAGCAGACATGAGCAATATTATTTTAAATTATTTAAAGGAGTTTGACAGTGATATTTGTAGTTGAACAATATATTACATCAATCCAAGGCTTAATACAAGTTCAAAAGTGAGAATTGTAACTTGTGTGTATGTGTGTGGGGGTGTGTGTGTGGGTGTGTGGGGAGGGAGAGGGCATACAAATTTTACCTGGTTCAATCTTATGTATGGTTGCCCTTTTCTATTATTAATTGAACAACTGCCATTTCATAATCTAATAATAATTTTTTAGAAGTCAAATAATGTTGAAATAGATTCAAAAAGTTATAGTACTATATTAAATAACAGAAAAATGTCACAACTATTAAACGGCTTATAAAAAAACATAGCACGAGAGTGAGAATTTCTACCTGATGTTTAAGCCAATGTTCACGAAACACAGGACGCATTTTCTTCTCTACAACCACCTCTTGCATGTCTTCCAAGGAGGGTGCTAATCCGATTTCTTCCTCAAAAGGTAACATGTACTCATCAACAGGGCCTGGGAATTAGGAGGGGAAAGTGGTTAGTACACATAGCTAATGTGCATAGTTAATAAGGTAGTGCGCATAGTTAATAAGATAGTGCACAGTTAATGAGCTAGTGCACATAACCATTAGGCTTGCGTGCATAGCTAATTACCTCACTCTTACGATCATCAACAACCACAAGCATGAAATTAAAGTTGCCGTTTATGGATTCTCTATTGGTTATTCACAGTAAATCAAATCAGGCAAAACAGTCACGATTGAGTACTTTCTGGCCCACTTGTATAGAGTGGGCTAAAATAAAAAAAAAAAAGCTTTTTCAAAGCAGTGTTCCACGATGAAATAAGTGGTTTCTTCCCTAAAACTAACAGCGGTGTGGTTAGTTCATCAGGATCCCCAATTGATGCTGCTATAAACATCCAATGTGATAGATAAAAAAATCATTTTATTACTATAAAAGTCCTAAAATTGACTGCTAGCCAATTCAAGGCTCCATATGTAAACATTTATTATTAATCAATGAAGAAAGTATTGTAATTTAAACTTAAATTAAACATTAATACAAAGGAAGAAATATACAATTTTTTTTGTTCAGGTTTATGAGCTAAATATTGACAGTAAGCATAACATATAAATTGGTATTTTACCATCCAGTTTACACCTTGATGCCAGCTCCCACAAGACCAAGCCACAGGAATACATATCGATACGCAAAAATGCATCGCGATGAAAACTTACTGCGCCCTCCAAAATTTCTGGGGCCATGTAACGTCTTGTTCCAACCTAAAAAAGAAATGATACAGCACTTGTAATAGGTTATATTTTTCATTTATGCTAGACATATATTTATAAATATGTTAGCTGGTTTTTACCTACTTTGTAAGAGTAGTGCCCAAGTCTCTATCGATGGCTAGTGTACACTGTGAAAGTTCAAAGTGTGTATCACTATACTGTGAATGGGCGCTGGCTTGGAGTAAAAAACTTCTTTTGACAATCAGAATATTTCAATAGATGGATTTATTTGGTGTAAACACCAAAGATAAACCACGAATATATAACAAACCACGATACCACTATGATGTACTTAAGAAATTAGATATCATTATTAAAGATCTTTCCCACCCCTTGCATCATGAATACACATCTACCAGATCTGGCCACCTATGCCCTAAAAAGTGCAATACTAATAGATTAAGAAATTCATTCACTCACAACTCAGTTTATATCTATAATGCTAACTTTGACGATTTCCCATTGCAATACCTTGTGCTATAATTATGTGTGTGCTGTTCACCCATTTGTGGTCTTTTGCACTAACCTCTGTATTTATTTTTATATATATATTTAATACGTGTATAAGCATCAGGTAAAAGAATTTTACTAGTGAATTTTTTCAATAAGTGACAATAAAAGTATCTTGTATCTTTTATCTGAAGAAGACATATTTCCAGTGGGGTCCGTTTGGTGGTGATTGGACAGTACGATAGTGTAATACATACTCCAAGTATGGAAATGAACGCCATCGTGTCAGGATTCAATATTTCGACATTAATTATGTCATCATCAGGAATAAAAAATTATCCATATTTGCAAGCTTATATGCACAAGTACCAAAAGTGTTAGACCAATAAAAATATTACCACTGGGCAGTACACCAGGAGACAATTACTATACTATTTTAAAAATAATGTAATACATTCTTTAACATGCACACGGGACCAACTTCTCATCCGAAAGATGGTGCGCTATCGTAACTTGCAATTTAGTCCTCCAACTCAAACACAAGGAGAGCAGTGATGGGAATTGAACCGGGGACCTAGATATCATCTCCATGGTTCAGTGCACACACAGTGGCTACCACTAGTTTAGCCGACTAAGTAGAGCTGTTCTCCCAATTACACCACAATGCATACAGTAGATCTTAATATTTTAAGCTATAGAAATATTGCATAGGCTCATTTCTCAGTATGTAAAGTGTTTACATGCTCATTTTTAGGTTGCATATCGGCGCAGGCCCAGTGTTATACATTGTTGTAGATAGTTTAGAGGGGTCGCAAGTCTCTAGCAAGCTGCAAGGGTCTCCCAGGAATGGAGACAGCATCCTGCAATCCTGCAACCAAGCATAAATTTCCTGGAAAATCTACCATTTCCTGCAAATTCATAATATTTGCATATCTTCTACTTTAAAATATCAACTGTCTCATGGAAGCCGGTGCTGATGGATATCACCATGTGTAGCAAAATAAAATTAAATGTCTTAAAGAAAGCTCAATTAAGCAGATATCCATGGGGTTGGTTAGGGTTACTTCTACACCATTTTATTTCAACAAGCTAATTGATTTGTAACAATCAATTATGGATGACTAAATTTGTGAGGCTTTAAAGAGTAAAGTTGTTTTTGGTTGTGAAAACAAATCATGAACTTTTTTTCACCAGGCTTTTTTATTTCTTAGGTAAAAACTACAAATTTAACTTTTCCATATTAGGATAAAATGACAAGTGATTTTTATTAATTCTGGCAATACTCTATTACCAATGTCCAGATGTTTTTCAAACAGCCATCAAATTATTTTATATGATAGAGGATTATTCATAATTCACTAGATTTATTTTTCAACTAAATAATACATTAGTATTGTTAATTTTGAATGTTTTTAAAGAACTTTAATGTTTTTGCAGTTACGTATTTTTTTGGACAATATTATGGCAAACATCACAGCAATAACAAAACTGGTAATCTCACATTAATCAACAATTTGACAGATCATGTTGCAGTTCAGAAAACGAAAGCAAAATATTTGTTTTATCGATATAGCATCATTTCTATCTAATTTTTTTTCTTATGACACATGTAGGATATTGAATATCAGAGAATTGAAAATATACATACTGTATGGTGACCACTGGATTTGGTTTGAACGCAAGTCAATATTCAGAAAAGACTTACCGTGTAGATTGTTATTTTTATCCAACCTAAAGTATGACAGCATCAGTAAATCATACACATCAAGATGATCTTTCACCACTACATGTCCAATGCGGTTACCTGATAATACCTTGATAATACACAGCTCACAGTTTTCCTTTTGTTTTATTAATGAGTATACTACTGTACGCTTGCACAAATATATTCTATGCTGTGGTAGTGGAATTTTTTTGTAAAATGGAATGTGTTTAGCTGTAAACTGAAATGTGAACTACAGTAGGTTAATTTAAGTTAATTTCATTTGACAATCATGAGAAGTAGTGTGAAGTCTAAAATCAATTATTTTTTTTATAATCATTTTGGTATTGTGGCTAACCAGTTTGCATATCAAATCATATTTGTAAAGGCACGGTATGAATTCCTGTATTATCTTTATTATTGTTTGAGCTCAACTATAAAACTGTAATCAAAAAGACAACAAGTCATTTAAGAGACTTGCAAATCCAACATTAAAATATAAGCATCCAAAAAAAAATGTTTATATTAGTTGTACAATATTAAACAACTAACCTTATAGTTACATTCTATTTTTACCATTATTTATTAACTTCTTTTTCCTAGGATATATTAGATTTGTATTTCAATGTCTATTATGGTGTCAGTACATGCGAATGTGGCATTGTTGAGGCTATGTCATTAAGTTTATCTTATCATCATATCATATCTTATTTCTTTATAACCTCCATATAACTCATGTATTATGTATTACAGTACTTTATTACTATTATTTTATCCATTTTTTTCCCAACATAAGTCAGTAATTACAATATACCTTACATAACTACAGTACGTAATATAGGAAACTATCGTAGAGTGAAGAAGATGGCTGAGAGCAGCAAGACCACATGACAGCTAACCTTTCAAGATGCCATTCCCTGATGATTATTATTATGATTTAATATTAATCTGGTAAACTTATATTTTTTTTTTTTGTAATAATGACCTTTCTTAGAATGGTGTGGAATAGATTTAAGTAATTCAAATTCAGTAATTGGAATTAATCAACGTTTTGACAAATCATGAAATAATAAAAGTTGGTTACCATTAATAGCTTTTGACAAGTATCAACATTTATTTTTATATGGTATGTAGAAATTCAATTCAACTCAATACAGAGTTATTTGGCATCACATAAAAAGCAATTACAAAATATATATAAAATGCGGTAGAGACAGTTAAAAACATCATTAAATAGGACAGATTCCAGGAAAGCCCATGATCGATTTTTGCGACGGGTGACTGGTTTGGCTTGTCTTTGCCACATGTCACTAAATGTTTCTACTGTATATATGGTCATGATGACCATATTTAGGCACGTCAAAATTCAATTTTGTTTTCAGTGTTTAGCTTGACATAGATATTAGCCTGGTTCACGTCGAACTTTATCTAGATATACCCGTCTTGAAACATGATGCCAGCGAGAAGATGATAATGGTGGTACAATACAACAACGCTGGCTTAGATGCCTACGTTACGTAATCGTGTCCTTGTAATCCGAGCCGACTTTACCGTTAAGCAAAAGCAAGTTAATTTACCGTTATTCTAGTAAAGTTAAGTCACTTAACTTAAGTAACTTAATTCCTTTATCTAGCTATAATTGAGTGGTTCACGTCGAACTTTTAACTAGTTAAGTGGATGTATATCTAGATAAAAGTTCGATGTGAACCAAGCTATAATCTTAAAATTAAAGTATCAGGAAATTTTAGCAAAAAAACAAAGTGTGAAAACCCTCCATTTTACTTGTTTACAACTAGTATTTAGTGACTTTTATGAGTACATTTTTAAGGAAAATTTGGTACTGTATTAAAGTCATTGTAAATCAATATGGATTTAGAGGAGATTTGTATGTCTTCAATTACTGTATCTGTAATAAACAACATAGTGCAAGACAAGATGAAAGGGCAACAGATCTAGTTTAATCACTGTAATAGCAGAGGCGAACCTCATATTCACACAATATGTATATACCATGGGATCAAGCGGTGGTCGTAAAAGGGAAATGGTTGTAAAATTAAAGGGTATATTAGGCTCCAAGTGCATGAGAAATGGTCATAAAATTGGAGACTTCATATGCACAATCAGCCTGAATGTTCTTTTATAAGCACAAAAATGAAAACATTCATTAGTGAAATACTGTACTACATAGTTTTTATACTTTGGCCGACTTTCTTGATGAATTTTAAAATATTTTAATACCACCTGTCCCGCTGCAACACTTTTGCCGCCCCTGGAAACCATTCTGGAAAAATTTCACTATAGTTAGCTACGAATTCACTAATTTTGGAGCGGCTTGGTTTAACTCTTTCAAGCACTCCAGTGGGAAAGTTAAATACATTAATAATTACCAGAGATTTAAGATTCAACATCTATCTGCCAGATACTCCTCCAAATGGTCATTAATTTTCAATGTAGACTTAACTGCTCTAGATTTAAGAGTCATTGAAATTCAGTAGTGCTTATGAGTTTGTTTGCCTACAGCATTGTATGTTTTAATACAGTATGTATTTAAACAGTACAATGCAGATCACTAGTATAGCAATATTCCATGTAAAATTTCAATAATATTAACAATGTTGTGCAAGTCAAGTAGCTAGGTGGTATGGTAGGAAAAGGGTGCTCTAACTACAGCTGTTTCGTTCGGGGGTCAGTTTGGTAGAAGCACGTCTTCAGAAATAATGATTTAAAGCACTACCGAGTGCCTCTCACTGGCTGCGACAGTAGCTACATACCATAATGTAAGTGTTTGCAATTCAGCAAAATGATAATGTCATTCAAGGGTTATTCACTTAACTTTACCTACCCCTTTAAAATTTTAATATTTCAGATATGTTGGGAATTTTGGATGGTTGCTAAATAATTTTCATCTGTTTCTGCTTGAATATGAATGGTTGTTAGATAAATGAGGATATGTAAGTTGTAACAAAGCCAATCTTAGACTTTGAAGCTCAGGATGACAGAATGAAGGATCCTGATATTTCATACCTACATACACAGGATGCTGGTTACTTGAAATCACAAAATCAATCCATTGTAAACTACATGGGAAATGTTACTAATAGGTTGTAGTAATTTACCTAAACTTGTATAGTAGTAATTTAACTAATTTTTTTTAAGAAGGCGCTTTTGCCTCATCTTGATTTGTAAATATTTATGAAGCATTTTAAAAATTTAATTAATTTTTTTTTATTGAGTCACGCGGGTATAGGACTTTTGTTCTGACTCCCTCCGCTTTCTTTTGTATATATGTAAATTTGGAGGAAATAAAGATATTATTAAACTGTGATCTACAATTTTACTGCATAGCCTAGAAATTTGTGCCTTTGTTGTATGAATTTTAAACTAGCTAGAAATCCAATACAAATAAAAGCTATGCAGGTGTTTTGATTTGGTCTAATTTTTCTTCATACCTCATATTGGAAGAAAATAACATTAAGGAATTTAAGTTCTTACCTAGACACCTACACAGACTCATTGTAATAATCCTTAACACACCAGTCCATTATTATATTACAGAAAAGAAATTGTAAATGATAGTTTTGTTGACTATTACGAGCTGGAAATAAAAGCCAGCATTCATATACACGTACCACACTGTTTCTTGCTAGAGGCTACAGCCATGTTTATTTCTAGAGGCTTAAGTTACACCCATACCGAACACATGGTTGTAGCTGTAGACAATTAGGGTGGGTAATGGAGATTTTAAGGGTGGGTGATAACACTGGTAAACTCTAAGTAATATGAGTGGATTTTAAGGATAGATAAGTGGTTTATTATGGGTCAGTGGAGGACCATGAAATTAGCTTCAGACTGGGTGGAAAACTTCAAGGCTGGGTGGCCCAGTCCACCATAACTACATCCCTATGTACAGAACGCCTCTGCTCACTTCCCTAGCGTGTTCAGTACAGGAGCTTTTATGAAACAACAACACGTGCATTTGTTCACGTGCAAAGTAATTTACATGTGAGACGTGGCTTTAGTTTATTCTGTGCCACATGACTTTGTTGGTATGAAATATGTTATATTCATATGGCACCAATGTGCCTTTCCAAAAGTTTCAGTATTGTTCTCCACATTCTCTCAATAGTTAGAAAAGAATTCCGACATCCTTTCACATTTTAGAATGTATTTTAGACTACCTACAGTATGCAATATCTCCTTTGTGGTTTCCACATTGTCTCCACAAAATCGACAAACAGGATATGCAACAAATTTTCACTGCTTGCATCAACCAAGTGTTAAAAAATATCATTTGTGGTCAAAATCTGAAGGGCCCTTTAAAAATCCAATTAAAACACTAAATCACTCATTTAAAGGATCAAATAAGGTATCCACTTGGAAATGGAAATGGATTTTTATTGAACTTTACACAATTAAAAATTGTCTCCTCAAGTGCTTAAAGAATGAAAAAAAAAAGAAAAGAAAACTAACCCATGAACTATCCTTAAACTAATCAAAAGCAATTTACCAAAGAAATGAATTAACAATGAACCAGTAACACTGCACTGTTCTCAAGCAATTTGAGACACATGGACAGCTGGAACAGTACTCACAAATGAGACACAAAAAAAACCAACTTTGTTTTCACTGATGTGTACAGAATTTTTAGCATGAAAATTATTTAATTAACTAGAAATTACAAATTGCAAGTGAAGTGCTGCGAAGTACAACTGCATGTAAATGTTCTTCGAACAAAATCATTTATGCGAGTCAAGTGAAAATAATGAATAATAAAAATATAACAAAAACACGACTCATTGTCTATATTAGAACACTTCTCATTGGGTAACAAAGTCGTAATTTTTCATTTTTGTCAAAAAGTGTCTATAGTGGTGAATTATGGTTTCGGTTTTTTTAAATACAGTTTCAAAAATTTTTATGTATGTGGAAAATGTAGTTGATTACCAAAGGTTACAATTTTTATTTTGAAGGCTGCATGGTCTAGGAAGTGTACATTTTTTTATGGGGCAAGTTTCCAAGGTTTTCTAGGGGCGAGTTGACTGCCAAAGAGTGTTGCCAAAGTGCGAGCCAGCGTGTTATTTGATCACAAGTGCGAGACATCGCAAGTGTGAGCCAGCGAGCCATGACAATAGATACGAGACGTTACTCGAGTTGTGCGGGGTATCGGCTGAGATTTGTGGAGTACAATTCAAAAAACAACTATAGGTCTAATAATGAATTATTGTGATGTTAAATAGACAATGTTAGCTATCAAGGAGCGACGTTGTTTTTCATTGGGACCTTCGTCCCTTCAAGGCTAGACCTATACCATCCTAGCTAGTCTAGGCCTAGAGTAGGATAAGGCTAGCACGACATGCAGAGTTTGGTACGTGTTGGTTAGTCTACAAACGTCGCCTAAAGTAATTGATTTTACCCGGCAGAATGAAAGAAGGAAACTCCGCTTTTCAGTCGTCTTAGGCCCTTGTTTTTTGACAAACAATGACCTTTCAGAGGTCAAATTGCTGTTAAGAATATCAATTGGCTGCTTTGCAGCAATTACTAGCCAATTTACTGTAATAAGGGGTTGTAAAGAGGAAAAATACTATGTATCAGAGTGTTATATACAAAGTACAAAACTTTCAATTAAATTTTTAAAAATATTTCTCTGTAAAACATTGTTAAACTAGAGGGCACTCGGAGAGTGCATACCTCCGCCCATATCATAATTCTCCTCGGTATAAATTTCCCCCACATATCGTCCCAATAAAAATAAATAATGGAACAAAAAACAAGTAGACTCCTTGGGATAAACATAACCTCCTGTCAACTTCGTTGGCAGATGTAATTAGTGAGTGAAGCTACTAGATGGTTAAGCTGCTCACCGTCCAATTCCAGGGCTCTGAGTTCAAACCCTATAATAAAACACTAGGAATTTTTTCCATGACCAAAAAAAAAATCAATTCATAAGCCTCTTAATAATGGGATTTGGTATATGTGGCAAAGACAAGCCAAACAAGTCACTCCTTACAAATTGTGTTTCGGAAATACAGTATTATTTTCCCCATTTTCAATGTTAAAACAACAAATTTTAACGATTAGATGGTTTCTGCCTGACAAATGCCCAAAATCGTTTACAACTTTGAAGGCCGATTTCTCAAATACTGTTCTTTAAACAGCTGTATGTTTAAACTCTATAACTTCATTATAACAAAATGTCAAACTTAAATGATTCTTTTACCATTGTATAGTTCTCATTTTACTGTTTGACCTTTACAGTATATTACTGTAATAACTAAAAATTGATTTTTGCGTGGAGTGACTGGTTTGGCTTGTCTTTGCCACACATGTAGAGCACCTTTGGCCTATATGTATGCAAATAAAGTTGTAAAATAGGATACAGTATTTGCTATTGGCAACCCTTGGCCCATGCACCTATACCAGGTAAACAAAATATAAACAAACAAATGGTACTGTATTGAACATGGGGACTGATTGCGTAGAGTCTGAGTATTAAATTTTTATATCGACATTAGTATTAATGCAGTAAAAAATGAAGCTTTATTGTAATCTCTATAAACATATGTGATGACGACTTTGAATTTTATGTTGAATGGTTTGAAATGCCAACTTGTATAAAGAGATTTTGACCGAAAAATTGCCAATTCCAACAACATACATTAAAATAACAATACAAAAAAACCCTAATAAAAATACAATAAATATAATAACAATATGGGAAAAATGTTATTGAAAACAGATATGATGCGTGGTAATGTAGTAAATGTAGCAGGCCCGGCAAGAGGGGAAACTGTAACTGTGGCAGGGGTTAGTGTGGGCCCCAGTTACGAGCACAAACTGCGAAAAAGATTGCGCCAAAGGCGCCAACAATTTTTTTGGGGGGGGGGCTGTCAATCCAGAGGGACATAATTAGGGGACCAATGCCATTATTGAGGGCCCGTGATAGTAATTATTATTTTTGAAAAAAATGTTGAAAAAAAAAATGCTACCTGCAATTTCTATGGGCCCCTCTGGTAAGCTTGGGCCCTGGGGATCTTTCCCCCTGCACCCTCTCTCAATGGCACTGAAATAGTTATTATTTACTGTACATGGCATTGTACAGATACTGTAGATCTGATTGAATATGTTCTCTTTTAAAATGTTTAAAAGTTTTTATTCATAAATCAGCTTCCATATGTGAGGTATTGCGGCAAAATTAGTTGTTTTGTACAGTTAATTGGGTCATTTTGATCTGTAGCATAACTGATATATGGTTGATGATAAATAAAAAGATTCTGAAAAAAATAATATATTACTATACCTGATTTTGAGAATCACAGGGGTTTTTTCCAAGTTCAAATTTAATAGCCAAACCAAAATCAGCAATACAGGCAGTCATATCATTCTTCAGTAAAATATTTTTACTCTTGAAGTCGCGATGGGCTATGGAGGGTTTGCACGCCGACCCCGCTACAAGAATATCCTCATGGAGGAAGGTTAATCCATGGGCAATCGATTCGGCAATTTTGCACATTTCACTCCAGCTGAGCGTGTTTGCTTTCAAGTAGTCGTAGATAGAGCCATGAGGGTGGAATTCGGTGATCAGCCATAACTCTTGGTTCAAACCCTCACCTCGCATTTCCGAGCTGATGAAGTGAAGCAGGTTGGGGTGGTCCATGTGGGGGATGCTATATATTTCTTGTTCCAACTGCCACGAGAGTTTGTCCTGGAGTGGGAAAACTTTAACTGCAACATATTCATTGCTCGTTGCCGATGTTTCAGCTTTCCAGACGGCACCAAAACGGCCTCTTGCTTTGATTTCAATCAGCTTTAAGTGTGTGGTTTCTGAACCAGGTGGAGGAGAATGTATTAATAGTGGTTCTTGTTTCAAGTCCATTTGATACGTGGTGATCTTATGCCGCCTACAAATCCAATAGGCTACCACTAGAATCAGAGTGAGGGCAGCCAATGGCAGAAGTGAATACATCATCGTCAAAATTAAAGTGTCTTTCTGACGTCCTGGTAAAACGTCTGGTTCTGTTTCACCTTTGGATAGAATAACAGTGTTTAGGTAAGAAATGACACAACGAATGTAGTTCATATATATTTAATTTAGTTTATGCAATCAACATTAAAATTCAGTAACAGGAAAGTATTCGTAAATAAATTAAATAAACCTGTAATTCTTGCCCCGAAATCTTGACCTAGACTCAGAAATACCGGGTTGGTGTCTGGCGGGGCGATAGTTTTCCACCATAGTTTAAGGCTTATATAAAGCTCCTAGAGGGATCTGTGATCCATTATAGGCGATATATAAACAAAATTTTAGTATTATCATTATTACATAGGACATCAACAAAAAATATCTGCAACAAAAATGTGGTTCTTGATGGGGGTTTATGAATCATATATTGTTATTGTAAGGCCTCATAAAAATATGATTAGATGACAGTACCCTCACCCACATGGAAAAATGATGAGGCAGGAAAGTTTTTTAGCCTGTTCCTTTTCAAGCCAATCTGATTTTTGGCAGCGAACATTTCTGGTAGTGCAATAATACAATGGTTTCCTTTATACAGTATGATTCCTTTAACAATTATTTAAAAATTTGATTTTATTATTAAAATGCTAGTCAATTTCCATCCATATCGGAAAAAAGAAATAAAATATTTACCATATCCAACAAAAACTGTAGGAGAAGGTCTAGGATCTGGGATGTGTGTGAAGTTACTATTACAATAATCTTTAGAACAGCAGCAGAAAAGTAAGTGTCCATTCTTTGGTTGCACCTCACGACTAATACAATGGTCTGTATTCGTGCACTTATTGGTCCAGCATCCCTGCAAGCTAATTTTCCCGGACGTTTGGTTCCAGAGTGTAAAGCAATGTTCTGGTTCCAACTCTTTGTGCTCACATACTTTACTGCCTGTGCAACCTTCTTTCCCCTTTAGACATTGGCAGGATAAAGTTCTTTTCGGTTTAACGGTATTAGCATTAATCAGCAGTAAGGTTCCTGCAAAGAAGAAAAAGAATCATTGATTTTTAAACTGTTGAGGTGACGTGAGTGCTCCTAGTATTGCCAGTTGACAAGCGATTAAATAGTCAAGCGACAGTAATAATTAATTAATTTTGATCTATTAACTGCAAATACAGTATGTCGTGCACACTAACATATCTCAAATTATGGTAGTGTTTTATGGCAACTTGTAGTAGATAATCAACAGTCAGAAGCCCTTTAATGCTGAAAATTGTATTGGAGGGGTGGGCGCAAAAACACTTTCTTTTTAGTTTCTTTGTCATCCTTTCACCAAAATTAACATATTAAATCGAGCTTGCAATTAAGCCTGCTTACTATTTGTTTTTCAAAGGGTATTCATCAGACTGAATAAAAATAACCCATAATCGATATTTTGCAATGAATTTAGCTTACATCAGACACCAAATTTAGACAACTTTCATGTGCATCATAAAGATCACTTTTTAAAATTTGCGAACAAAAAATTGAATAAAAAAAACCAGATTTTTAAAAAGATGCTGGTGGGCAAACAAACAATTTTTTTTTAGGTAAAGCGCTCCATTGAAAGTTGATATAAGTGCTACCAACAACTAGTTAAAGTCAGCAGTAGTTATGCTTACATACTACAGTATAGGCCTATATCCACTTTATCTGTACACCGAGCCCAATCGCACAAGTAAATATGCAACTAGGTAGTGGAAGTTGCCCAGAGCACTTATGTCGCTTTCGACTAATTATTATCTACGACTAGTTGCCATACAATGCTACCATATAGTTGAGTTTAGTTGAGCTGAGTAGAGTTGCAATGGCAACATACATAGCTTTAAATATCCAACTTTAAACAAAAACATCAAACGATCATTCAACTCAATAAAACTTTATTATCCCACAATGGGGAAACTCGTTCAGCCATTAGACAGTAAAATATCACAACAAAAATATTTATCTTTAACATTATTCATGTATGAATTACATAATTCATAATTCCTCTATCACAATTGAAAATATACAGCTTTGAATTGTACAGTACGGTCCCTAATTATTAAAGCAAACTTTAAGATCTAATTACAATTCTAAGTCCAGTACATTGTGAATAATAAGCAACTGAACAACCTCTGTAATTATTATACCCAGAAAAAAAATCTCCCTTTAATAATACTGTACAGTATCATTTAATAAGCTAATTTGATCATTAAGACAACATACTTTAAGCTAAACAATAACATGTGTCTGACACTCAAGTCTAAATAATCCAAAATCTTCAAAAATCTACAAATAGGTCACATTCAACTACAAAGATACAGTACTGTAGATTGGTGGAGGGATAAAATGGAAAGGAGGTACAAACTATAATTAGAGATTTATTAAAGTAAAAGGAAAGATAAACAGGAAGAAATATAAACTGAAGAGGAGAGAAAAATTAGGCAAAGGAGATGAATGCCAACTAAGTATAACATACACTAACTGATTTTGGATCCAATGACATTCTAATCCATGAAAGACCTTAGTTAATACTGTACTTCACTGTTACAATGAAAAAAATAAATGAAAAAAAATTATATACAGATTGTATCTAAATCTCTATATGCACAGCACAAGGATACTTTATTATGGCATTTTTTAGAAATGTACAGTTACTCCTAACTGTATATGCACAATTTGTACTACGGTTTTTCAACTCCCTTACATTTTGCTATATCTTTTCAATATTGTAGGAAAGGTACAATATTGTTTCTACAGTAGAAGTCTGGCCCAGCAGGAACAGTTTGGTTTTCCAACCTTGAGGTCAGGGTTTCAATCCCTCGCTGTGCATTTCGCTTGTGTGCTTGAGCGAGGCACTTTATCTGCATTGCTTCTCTCTACCCAGGAGTATAAATGGGTACCTGAAGGGGTTCGAGTGCAAAATGAGCTGAAATATTAATGCAGCAAACTATGGAATTTCCCGCATAGGCATCGTTCCAATGACTAGGGATAATAATGTGGAAAAGCAATCTGAGATTTAGTTGTATAGAGCGCTATATGAAAGTCTACATTATTACTATTATATCACAATTGCTTGTGTCCTTAAGGCACTTAATCTACATTGCTCCTCTAGACTCAGGAGTATAAATGGGTACCTGAGGGGGTTCGAGTGCAAAATGCGATAAAATATTTCTTGCAGCAAACTATGGAATTCCCCCCAATAAGCATCATTCCAATGACTGGGGTAATAATCTGGAAAAGCTTTCTAAGATTTAGTTGTATAGAGCGCTATATAAAGCCTACATATTAGTATTATTAAATTATAGTTGGCCTATACCTCTACTAAACTTTAAGCTTGCTTGACCTGCTATAGAATTTCTAGATGAATTAGGAATGTTTGTATTGTAATTAAAGAACAATTAAAAACAAGATTAACATGTATTTTGCATGCATTTTTCATTCTGAACAACACGATCATTAATGTTTGCAAATTGAGAAACACACCTCTATAAATTATGATATGGGCGCATTTCTGCAAATAGTCTTCGCTTAATTTCTTGTTATTTTCTTCAAACACTTTTTACATAACATTTACAGGATAAACAAATCAATATATTTTTTTTTTAAATGCATAGGGTTACAGGTACAGTAACAATAAATATAAACTGTACACAGAAAATAATTATACAAATTATAGAAAATTGCCAATAGTCCAGTACAAAAAACCAAAATCCCAACCCCACACAAAAGCTATTAAGTAAAGAGTATGAACAATCCAGTGATAAAATTTGGGTACTTCTTTAGGAAGTACCAAATTTAATCACTGGATTGTTTAGTACACTCAGGGAACCTCCCTCTCAAAATATTATGCATTCCTCAACCCCCTACCCCACAATCCAAATCTATTTTGCAGAATTTTGTACAGTACAGTACCAATTACAGTACCAATTTTTCCAACATCATTATTACCATCATCATCATCATCATCACTACTACCATAATGCATTCTACTAATGTGAAATGTATGAGTGATCTAAATTTAAATAACCACTTTGAATAATGTTGTCCAACTCACCAAGAAAAAAGATGACAATGATCAGCTTGATTGGTTTTGAGCTTGACATCGTCATGGCAACACACAGGTTGTTGTCACAGAATCTGAAGGACAAAAAAAAACATATGCACTCACTCATATTATTAATACGATTTCAACAACATCAACACTATTGAAGTAGGTTAAGTCTGATAAACACATTACTCTAATTGAAGTACTCTACCACTAAAGGTAATACTGTTTACCAAGAAGTGAATTTTCTGTTAATTTTCTTATGCTCAAAGGGGAAAAAAACTTTGATTGGATTTGATATATTTAGACACATTGTCCCTGGAATGTTGTCTCTAAATGTCTAATGTGCAGAGCACGTCCAGGTCGAATTTGGAATGCCGCAATCGTTATTGGTTATGTATAAGGGCAGCCAGGTAACCTGAAAAATGGCTCCCTATTTCTCGACTGAGATGCGATTCAGAATGTACTGTAATGCCTAGGGTTGGGGTGATGGCACGACGCTAAAGTTTTAATTTGATTTGATTTTATTTTATTCAGCATCATAAAATATATACAGCACACATACAAAATAAATAAAATTGATAAAAGTTCATAATAAAGAGTCCAAAATATTACAGATGATACATACTGTAGAAATATTAAAATTTGCAACAATGGAAATTCAGCAAGAAAAAACAAATGAAAACGATGCCCGGAACGCCCATAAAGTCCTAGGACTTAATTTCCAATGGGGTCCGATTAAAAACAACAGCAAAAAATGTGTGCGAACATCTCCCCATTCCACAGCTAAAGCATAGTTATTTAGGTAATTTTTAAGTTTTATTTTGAAAGTATTGAGGACTTGACAAGATTTAATTTTCATCGGCATAGAGTTCCAATTTTTTATTGAATTAAAATAAGGAAGTTGTATATGCCAATAAAGTAACGTATGGTATTCTATAATTATAAGAGAGCTACTGTATTTCTTGTTTTATAATTGTGGTTTATTCTTTTTGAGAAATTTTTAAAACGTGACATAAACAAAGAAATTTAACTCTGTCTTGAACGTTAAGAATACCAATTTCAGCTAATTGTGTTTGGCCAATAAGGGACTGTGGACCTAAGTTTTTTATAAACCGAATCATTTTGTTTTGAGTTGTTTGCAATCTAATCATTAGTTTTTTCTCAATACCTGAAAACCATGACGAGGAAGCATAGTCAAATAGAGGGTGTACTAACGACATGCATAACATTTTCCTACAGTAAGAGTCAAGGCACGAGGCTTGACGGTAAAGATATCTTATTCTCGAGTTAGCCTCTGAGATAACTTTTTTTAGCAATCAAGTTACCAGTAACATGCTTGTCAATTTCTATGCCGAGATATTTAACAGATTCTTTTGCTTTAAATACATTTCCAGTGCATTCAATTTGGGCATTCTTAAATTGTTTTTGTAACCTTTGCTAATTCAGATCTACTGTAACCCTGTTTACTTTAACAAGTTGTGACCGGTTTGATAGATATGATTTAAACCATGCACGTGACTTAACTCCAATCGATTTATTACAAAGAATCCCATGATCAACAGTGTCAAATGCCTTTTGAGGACCATTTCGGTAATAAACCTATTGATATTTTATTCTTCAGATGGTCCAATAGATGGATAAGACAAGTATCTGTTGAATACGATTGTCGAAATCCATATTGGAATTCGAATAATAGATTATTATATTTCAAGTAATTTGACAGTTGATCAGACAGTTCTTTCAAGAATTTTTGAAATACAACTAATAATACTGATTGGTCTATACAGTAGTTCTCTACTTCAGTGCGATCATATTTTTTTAAAAGTGGCGTAACTCTCGCCATTTTAAAATCATCAGGAACCACATTAGATTCAATTGAAAGACTGACAATGTGTGTAATGGGCATTTTTAAAATAGAAAACCCATCTTTTGAGAAATCTTGGAGGGACATTGTCCAGGCCACAACTTTTATTTGGATTTAGTAGTTCTTCAATGTACTCCTCGTCAATTTTTTTGAGAACCAAGGGATTTAATTTATCAACTTTGTTCTTGTTTAAATTTTGATAGTTTGGATTTTCCGTAGGACATTTATCACTAATGTACAGGTAAGGCAAGTTACGTTTGTAAAATATGAGTTCATATGATTAACATTGTCCTTAGTATCAAAAGAGAGTTTACCATTTATTTTTAGTAAAATATTTCGTTTAGTTTTATTTATATCTTAAAAACCTAACTTCTTCAAAATTTGCCACAGTTTTGAAGGATTGCTCTTATTATCATTAAGGTTGTTCATAAAGTAATTGACTATGGCTTGTTTAATTGTTCTTTGAATTTTGTTGCGTAGTTTTTGGAATTCTTTAAGATAATCACTGTTATCCAGTCTTTTGTTTGTTGTTTTATTCTTACAAGTTTCAAAGGGGCAATATTATTTACCACATTCATAAATATTCTAACAAAATTTTTCCAAGCCACATTATCATCAGATACAGTAATCAACTAGGACCAATCAATTTTAGAAAGAGTATCAACAAAGTATTTTGGACAGTAGTTTTTATAAATCTAATTAATATGTATGTTTATATACGAGTTGAATTTAATTCAGATTATTTTTTATTACAAAAAATCATATGATGATCACTTATACCAATTTTGATTACTCCAGAATTTGAGATACTCTCTCTATTGTTGCATAAGATATGGTCAATAGTAGTTGACGTATTACTTGAAACACGAGGGGACATTTATCATCATAGAGTACTATACATCCAACAGTACTCCATTATGCACCTGCCACACCATCTCACCCTACAGCTCAGTTGCCTCTTGGATCCACTCAATTAAAACTTTGTTTCAATATTGGCATAAACATTACAGATAGTAAAATCCATAACATTAAAAAAAATCTGCCTGTAGGCAGGTACAATATTAACAAGATATCATGTGATAACATTTCAAAATTGATGCATATTGAAGCAGGGATGAAAAACACATCCACCTTGCATCATCAAAACAACACAAAGCTAACAATGATCGTCACAGGTTTGTTTCTCATGTAATCATTGACTTCGGAGACATTACAGTATGTCATGGGAACTACATATACTGTAGTTCATTATGGTTTTAATTATTTTTTTATGTTTCACAACTTTGCTGTAAAATTGTTCATTAAATTTATCAAATAATGCATTATTCATGAAGTGGAACCTACTGTATACTGTAGTACTGTATTCAATTATTATTCAATGCGTAATTATTATAACAAACACACCTATCAAACCTACATGATCAATAACTTTGCATATTTCAATGGATGACATTTTATAGATAATTCTTTGATGTTAATGACAATATTTATTTGTCTGTACCTGCAACACTGGTATTCTTTTTTATATTTTGTCTATAGCATAGCATTTTATTTCACTATAAGTCTCTCTCTAATTAAAGACCCCTCCGAGTAATGACCACATATCACCAAATTAACTAATGTCTTTTATCTTTATTATTCTAATTTAAGACCAAAGCTACTAAAGACAATGGAAACCCTGGTCCCAAAAGTGGTGTTTAATTGGATATATATTTTGTGATTTTAATTTTCTGCCAGGTACAATGCATTTATGACGGGCAAGTATGATTATGTGATAGTAATTGTTATTGTCGTGATGGAATACACAATAACTGGATTTGGGTCAGGAGAATCATGTAAAGTTGTAATTTTGCCCTACCTGACGTGGAAATGTACTGAATACTCAGTACGTTTAAAAACAATTCCGAAAAAAATCGCAACTATGATTATGTACCAGGTTTAAAATTAGTCTGTTTCCATCAAGTTGGGTGATGAGTGTTTTTGGATTAGATAGAATAACAATCAAAACTTTTTGGATGATGTACAAGTATGATTACTGTATGTACCAGGTTTAAAATTGTAACTGTATAATTAAGTGCATACAGTACAACATATATTTTCCCATTCTACTGATAACAGACCAATTGATTTCATCCCAAACATTAGGGACGCCAATCTTGCCTATCATTAATAATAATAATATCAAATACTGTTGCCAGTTTTATTTACTTTTCAATGAGTCATCACCCAACAAACTGTGCACTGGTGAACAAAGTCTGGCTACAGTACTGTATATAGTGATTATATCTCATTAGCGCCTTTAGTATACCACCAGTCCATCACATACGTAAAACGCAGGAAAGCACTAAATTGCTTTCCTTGGATTACTAAGGAGAGAAATTGCTCCCCTTGAAAATTTCACAGCTTTGAATAGATGCCCCCCCCCAGGGGTGGATCTAGGTATCCAAAAAAGGGGAGGGGGCGATCGAGAGACAACATTAACCTAGGGTGATCCGGCATGCCCCCGGGAAATTTTGTTTTCTAGATGCCCGGAAAAAATAACTTCTTAGGCATTTTGGGTGATCAAAAAGTGAGGGGGGGGGGGAGAACCGGTTTGCTTCCCTCAATCCTCCACTGCCTCCCCCTCAAATAAACTCCCACTCCAGAGCCTCATTTCGAATAAACGCCCAGAGGACGCGAAATATCGCGTTTTTTGCCGTCACCTGTGTATAACCACACCTATTTTTAAGCTCTAAACTGTTTCTAAAATGTTAAGTTTTAAATTATTTTGAAACATTGACATTATTTACAAACATTAAAATAAAACAACAAACAACTGGAAATACTTGTATTCTTTGGAAAACTCATCAAAACAACGTACTGTATTACCTAGGGAAATCCCCATTTTTCCGCCTAGACGTCCATGAATTTCCAACCGTGTCGGTTTCAACAATCATTAGTTAAGTTTATTTCAATATAAACATTAATTTAATATACTAGAATATAGTAAGCATATTTATTTATCTATTTTCAATCAATAATAAAAGCCGATGTTGACTTCAAAATATTCTACGCCTTACTAGCCATTACTACTCAGCACCTACTGTACTACTCTAACGAATCACGTAATAACATCGATCACGCAAAACAGAACCTAGAAATACCACGGGATACATAGTTCATGCATGGGCGGGCAGATAACGTAAATTACAGTAAAAGCAAGTATTACAACTTGAAGAAAACTCATGTTTTTATAGCACACATTATCTTTAAGTTTTTATGCTGAAATTATAACGGTGAACACTGCATAGCGGTATCATTCTTTCTATAACATTACAAGCGAACTGGGTTCAAACACGTACAATGTGTTTCAAACATTGTTTATGAATGAACGTACTGTGAAAATACATATTTAAACAACCCAAACCATTCCTTGAAAGTCATAGGAATCCTTGTCGCACTGTAGTGTGTATAATTACTATACTAGGCCAGCAAACCTAGGCTAATTAATTGGGGTAGCCTGGGCCTAACCTAGACGAATTTCGCCTCCGCGGTTCGTAATCTAAAATTTTTTAGGAGCAGGTTGATGACCAGTGTATAGGCTACACCCTGAATTTTGTGGTGGAAATCGCGTATAAAATTTGCGGCTTTATACACCGGAATATATTGTAGCTTTAGTTGCAAAATTTGATAGATTTTGATTATGGACAATGTTTCAAAATACAATTTTTGTCATTTGTTTTAGTTGCCTGGTGAATCAAAGAGCGCGGTTAGTAGGCTCTCCTGAACGCATGTTCAGGAGCGCGGAGGAGCGCAATTGCGCTCGCGCTCCTTAGAAATGATGGACTGGTATACTGTAGTTTACAATTGGGATTAAACGAAAAAACCCCCATAATTTAACATGTAGTATTGACCTTAATTACAGGTATGGTAAACATACTGTAGTACTTTACTATAGATCACATGTTTTTATTGGATAATCAAGATAAACTGCTGGTAGCAATAAATATCAATTTACATCATTATATTTCATCATGCTGCTCTCAATGTGTATTATAATGTTGTAATAATTGCGATATCACTTTTTAAAGACACTTACGATGTCTGGCACCACCCTAAAAGTGGTACAGCCTACTTTTGTACGGGAATCAACAAATTCTTTTTTAATATTATACTAATGTTTAACCTTGTTAACATATTGGAAGAAAATCTATCTTAAAATATAATTAAATGATACTCACTAAAAGTTGAAATTTGATATAGACTTATTATAACAATTAGTCTATAAACCAGAAAGCAAACAAGTTCAAGTATTCACTGTTAAATGCAGTATGCCGTCAATCACTCTGTAGGGAAAAAAACAGTACAAAATAGTCAGTGCTCAAAGGAATGTACCCATCTTGACCGAGTAATGATCATTTGTGACATAGAACCATGAAACACATTGTAAAAATGTTAAAAACTATCAGCCGGAAACAGGTGTAATATACTTCTCTTTAGGTCGCACTAGAAAAACAAGCTTTGAGTTTACGACATTCGATAAGCTGGTGATACATCAAAATAAGGAATCATTTTACGGTGAATCCTCCAGCCGTTGGGCAATGTGGATCATTAACAAATAGAATGACATTTAAATATGATGATAGGTTTACATTTCAAGCAAGGTGATACCACCCACCTCACAGTGGATTAAATCACAAGGTTGCACAAAAAATACCCCTGAGCACTCCCTTTCTGACTATCATTTAAAAGAGGGGATAAGGGAACTTTTCAAATTTAAATAATTGAACAGATGTTTCATAAATAATGTTCACATTTATTTACAATATAAATTTGGCAAAAAAAAAAAAAAAATCAATTGCCTTTTTAAATCTGTTGTTTAAATATGATTTTAGTATTTAAAACCTACAGTACAAGAGTAGATCAAGCAGGAATTTTTGGCTGGGCCCTTACAAACCCAGTTCAGCTACAGTGCAGTGCACTGCTTGGTGAATTGATCAGTTCTGTACCTTAGTAAGCAATTCTATGCTAGTTTTTCAAAAAGTATAAGTACTGTGTTCTTCAACATGGGCCAACTTGATCAATACATTAAATAGCTATTCCAAAAATTGTTGCTTAATGGAATAAAACTAGCAGTGGCATATCTAGAGGGTGCACATCCTCCCCACCCCCCATCCCCCCCAAAAAAAAAAAAAATCATGCACAAGTAGTTAAAAATCCACTTATTTTTGTGATCTGGCACCCATCACCTATGAATTGAGAATCCCCTCCCCCCCCCATGACCTCTGCACCCCACCATTTTGAAACTTCTAGAAATGCCACTGGAACTAAGGAACACACAGTTCTTCATGGTTCAGCATTGCTCTCAATTTATAGTATTAAAGTTCATTGGATCTGTTTTCAATGTACTGTAGGCTTATACGAAACAGCGGTGAATGGGATCCAAGCTTGGCGATTGGGGCGCTAACCCCCTGATTGCAGCAAAAAATCTATAACAGAATGTGAAACCAAAATTAAATGGACATAATTTGAAAAATGATCCCAACAATAGGGAAGAGAACACAACAACATCCCCATTTTGAAAATAGGTCTCCGAATCGGGCCTCACAACATCCCTTACTACATACTGTACACTCCTGTGGAATCAAGAAATCAAAGAAAACCTTAAAAATTAAAATCTGAATACTCATTAAAACAATTTAATGGTAATGTAAAATGCACAGACTACAAGAATGGTATAATTATTTAAACTTCCATTAATTATAGTGAGGAATTTTTTTTTCTTGTTCAAAGTTTCAGTTGAAGGTACAGTAACAAATTTACTGAAATATTATAAGCATATTAAATTCTTTTAATGTTCAAGCTTGTATTTTATATTATCTTCATTTTTTTCTCATCAAAATACATAAAAAGAAATAATAATTGAAATTCACCAATGTCACTTGAAGATGTGCAGGTCTGCATTTTGTACTGTACTGTAGCACATTGAAAATAGATATTTACTGACTGATCAGAAAAAATGTTGCTCTCATTGCCAAAAATGTTTAATATTAAATGAGACATAGGATTACTGGATTAATGACCATAGCCAACCAATAACATTGGATTAGCCATACGTAACAAAGCTCAAGTCCACCAAACTATGATTTATGCTCTGTTATGTACTGTAAAGGCAAAAAGAAACAAAAAAAAACTCCATCATAAAAAAACATAGGAAATGATGAATGGGTGGCAAACTGAACCAAGACTTAAGCCTGGTTCTCACGAGCCCTGGTATCCGGATCGGGAGCTAACCGTTAGCGATAACCGTTAGCACCCGCGGGAGAACACCCGATCGGTTAGTGCTTACCGTTAGCGGTATCCGGTTAGCAAGCGCTATCGGTTAGCACGTTGATCGCGTTTCTATCATTAACTAATCACACGTACGCATTTACAATTTCCAGTTTCTTGTTGGCCATGAATTCGATCATCATATTGTTAGTATCCGGATCGGGATTTTCTCGCATGGACGCACGGCAGCTAACGGTTAGCAGGATCTGGATCCTGCTAACCGTGGATCCTGCTAACCGTTAGCTGCCGTGTGAGAACATAGCCTTAACGGCTGGCCTGAGCATTTATATACCTGCTGCCAACTTTGTTGGTGTCTGATGCAAAGACTAAAAAAAATGTATATAGTACCCTCTATAGAATAATCATGAAATAGAGCACCCTCTGTTTTTTTTAAATTGTAGTGGAACTGCTATGGATTTTACAGTCGTCAATCAGTATACCTGTAGCTTTTTTAGAAGAAATTTATATGGCCTACATTCACATTTTAATGATGAATTCACTTCATTTTTATTAACTTTAGGATTTTATTATCGGCCCATAGGCCTACATTTTATCTTTATACACATTTTTATGATACGCGAGATAATACAACATTTGTAGACGTGAGACGTAAAAAGTGGATTCTCATGCACGAGATTCATGCATTATACGTGAGACTTTGACGGTGAATGTTAATATGTTAGGCCATCACAAGTTTAAATGGATGAGGCTCTTCAAGGCTCTTACACTCTGAATATTTACTTCAATCAAAACTGTTCATAGACCTAGGAATGTGAAGCAATGAAAATATAATAAACAGTAACACTAGAGCCTCTATAGATTTGGAAGTTTGAAAGTTCCATTCATGGCTGAATGAATCTTGGTACATCGTCATAATTAATACACACCATAGAGGGCTACTGTAGACTTATGCTAACTGTAGCTAGCCCCAGAGTGTAAAATAAGGGCTGCGCAGAGAATAACTATATCCTCTGCACAAAAATTAGGCGTAGAAATTTGTCTGCACATTTAGTAAAATAACGGCCGATTTCCATGCATACCTTGCCGAAAAATCAGGCCTTCGTCTAGGGCTACATGCATTATGCACTTAATTACCATTTTTATACAGTACAGTAGGCCAGGCCTGAAGTCTGCATAATAGTATTTTAATTGCGTGGATGATACAGCAAAAACTGGATTAAATTTGCGTACAAAAACAGAAAAATAGGTGCGCAGAATAGTAAATACTGCATAATACATTGGTTAAATAATAAGATTAGGTCAAAGCCAAATTTTTTTAGTTTGTCATAAGTTTTTTGGTTTTTTTTGCATCTCCATTTATATTACCAAATGTTCTTTTTATAACAATACATAGGCCAATATAAAATAAATTAAAATGTACTGAATAATGTGATAATTTAAATAAAGCAAACATATTATTGTATTCATAAGGCCGACAAAATTACTCATTGCATAGATATTAACTAAAGAAATTATTAACTACAGTATAATTTGAGGAAAGAAACGTTTTCAACAACTACCGGTATGTTGAGGTGAAGCAGACACAGTTTGTATATTCTTGTTTGTTGTATTTACATTGTCGATTTGATTAGGCATGTTTATAGAATACACAAATAAATGGAAATAGTAAAATGTATAGTTTAAATAAAATTTATAGGCCTACAATGTTAATGGCTGTTTCAGGCTTCTTTTGATATAAGTAAGCCGGAAATTTCACTCACAAGGCCTACGATATTGTTGAATGGAAACTAACTATAAAAATCGGAAAGAAACGCCCACAAACAGGTTCCCAGTACTCTTTAGGGTGAAGCAGACATCCTTTGCACGCCGTCTTCAGGAACTTGTTCGTGCACTACTGCAAAGAGTGAAGTATAGGTCAGAGGATAAAATTAGACTGGCTATTTTTTAGGTGCACACACATGGCATGGCAGTGAATGTGTACGCGTGTGTTCACCTCTCGTCTATGGTTCCGATTTAAAAAAAAAAAAATTATTCAACTTTGTTTAAGCTTTAATATTACATTTACCTTATATGGACAGGGCCCCTGCCGGCAGGAGCCGATCATGAGATGTCCGACAGGGGAACCGAAAATGGGGCCCATCAAATTAACATCGCCTTAAGGGGATGTCCGCGAAATATTTGTTTTCTAGACAGACGCAACCTCTCCTGAGGCATTTGGGCAATCAGTTTTTCCCCCTTTTTTAACTTCCTATTAAATTAAATTCATAGCCAGGTTTCAACTAGGGTGAGGGCCTAAGATAGGCAGTAACAATAAGGAAAGGTCGGACCTAGGCCTAGAGATGTTCAGGCAGGCCTATCACCTAGGCATAACTAGTTTAGGTATAGGCCGGCCTACTACTACTACTCTCTAGCTAGGCCCTCCGGCTTCGCTAGGTTTCAGCTAAGGCAGGGGTACATTTGCTTTATGATTTTACACATAAAGAAACCTACCGTAATCTGTTTCCACATCATGATTATATCACAGTGTTTCTACAAAAACAGCCAGTATGTCTCGCTAGGCTAGGCAGTAGTTTGGGACCAGAGCATCAGTCGCAATGGATGTACCGACGGGAAAAACGTAGGCCTCGTCAAATCAATCAAACGACGATCGTACACTGCTGAGGAATCTCACTTCGTACGTCGTATCTCTGAAAGCTGTGAAAACAATCTACCGTAAAAAATGTTCATGCATATTAATTTTGCAACGACTATGACACGCCAACTCGGTCATTATAAATAACAATGATATGTTTATCTTATATTTCGGCATAAAATCCCTTATATTGTACACATTATAAAAAACAGTGTTACTAAAAACTTAAACTACATAGGCCTATATCATAGGAGGACAATGTCTACAGTACAGTAATAAATAGGTATGTGGGTTTGTTGTACAACTTAGTGAAGACCATGGTGGCGCCAGTGTGAGGGGGAGGGGGGCTATATCCCCTCGTCGGGGGAGCTTAGCCCCCCCCCCCAACGTCGGGGAAAAGAGATCTATTCGGTCCGAATCAGAAGCCTGTAGGCTACGGTATATTATACAGTTGTTTAGGCCTATAATACATCAATTTGACATTTGGCAACGACATGAGAGAAAAGCTCTGAAAATAAACTGTATATTAGTAAAAATGACTATTAGGCCTAAATGTTTAAACGTCACTCGATGTCGATTTGAACTTACGAATGGCCAATGATTCTGGCTGCGCAAATATGAAGTGGGGATCAGCTCAATTGAAAGACTCAAATCTTATGCTTGCTTGCCTTCCAATCCCAATGTTCTAGTTCAAGTTCTGTAAACAGCAGCTAAAAACAACTTAATATTAAGACAAAATTTATGTAGAACCATAGCAAGTTCCATTAGCATAGTGGCGTGTAGCTTTACATGAATAAGAATGAAAATAACATTTTATATGGTATTCATTGCTTAATTTATTCGCTTCTGCGCGTCTCATAGATACAATTCTTTATTTGCTATGGTTTCATTGGTTCATTACTTAGCTTAACGAGATGCTGGTGATAACAATAATAATGTTCGATATTTCTAGGCCTTTTACAATAACAACATTATTACCACTGATCACTGATTTCACTAGAGAGATCGGAGTACAGTAATCTAAGCCGTGAGTGTAGGATAATGAAGCACTGCGTATGCCTAACCTAAATACGACCATATTTTAATGTCACAGCATCCTCTGGTAGTCTAATCTTACTATGGAGGTATAAAAAATACCTCCATGATCTTACATTCCCGGGTAGAGATTGAAAGAATTCAAAATGCCTTTCCCAGGGCATAATAAGCGAAATGGTTAATATGAAAATTGAACGCCCCGGCACCCACGAAAATTCAGACAGAGGGACAGGACTGCAACCGCTGCCACCACCACCTCTCCTATATGCACCAATTGCAATTCTAATGTTCTATCATCATGCTCATGGGGCACCCAGAGGAGGGGGAGGGAAGGAGTTTTGATTATTAAGTAAATGATCTGTAATGTGAACAAAATATATATGTGGAATGTAAGCCATGCACTCTCCTATGATTTAGAGTAACTTAGTGATGCAGTAATAAATCGCGAATGTTGTGCGTACAGTAATAGGCCTATGAAAGTTGAAATAAAAACATTTTCTTACAATCGTGGGTAACTCTCTGGTTACCCGTAACTAGGCAGCAAATGAAAACACTGTAATTTATTACAGTATTATTTGGTAAAATCAGGAAAGATTGTAAATTAACTCTTCCATGGTATAATACAGTTTAACCTCCCTGTGCCACCACCTCCCGTAAGCGATCACCTAGTCCATGGTCCTGTTTGTCTAATCAATGCATTTGATACTTCGTAAGCCACTTTTTACTTTCGGATTTTTCTTATGATTTAGGCCACCTCCCGTAAGCGACCACCTTAAAAGTTTGTAATATCTTTTGACAACAAATACAATCAGATTATCTTAAGCTTTGTCCACACTATCAAATTTCATCAAAAAACCGTCACATAAAATGGGATGGAAAATAAGAGTTGAACATGTTCAACTTTTTTTGATACAATTTGATAGTATGTGATATGACGTCATCGTACCTACATATGGGCACATAACATTTTTTTTTTCACATACAATCTGATAGTGCAGATCCCCGCTTTCCAAACCTTTTTCTCTGGGACGGGACCTAATTTGTGATTTCCCAGACAAGCCGCGACCCATATAATATTAAAATGTAATAGTAAATTGCACATCGACCTCATCAAAAAATGTGATACTTTATGTTTTAAAAAATGACTATTTATTATTAGTATTACAGCGGTTATTGTTTAGCCTGCTAATGATCTCACTTTTGAGAAACCATTGGCGGATACAGGAATTGGTAATAGAGGGGGCCCAACCATGGTGGGGCTGAGGTAAGAAATATTATGATTATGGCACCCATAGATGGCCGGGAAATAGCACTCTCAGATTGAATTTGATTACAATTTTCCTTTTTATTCTATAATTCTTTTAATTGGAGGGTGGGGGAGCCTTGACCCTCTACTGGAAAATCAAACAACTTTTAATATTTGAAATGAAAATATAATCAACTTTTTTGCAGAAAATATTTTCAACCATTGAATTATATATTTCATAAATGTTATACCTAAATTTTAACCCTGTGGTTACCAGTTGGGAATGGTGGGGGGGGGGGGAGGCGCTAAAAATAATGAGAGCCCACACCAAGTCAGCGCCACCTTGGTTGGCGGTGACGTTAAAAACTTTTATTTTGTACATGGATGCCCGAAAATGGAACTTAAATTACATTTTAATTCTTTTTATTTTTGACAAAATGAGTAAAAATAAATCCGAATTAAATAAATAGGTGCCCGAAATTGCACTTAAAACACTTAGGCCCCTACATTTAAAAAACTACCACATCCACCTGAGCCCCACCATGGTTGGAAAATTTAAAGAATTTGAGTCATGATACCAGAAAAAAGCACTTGCATAGTACAAAATCTACGATATCTACTTGAGCCCCACTATGGTTTGGGACGCAGATGAGTATATTTAAAAAATTTGAGACTGCCCGAAAACGGCACTTGGCCATGGATACCTAAAGTTTATGGAAACTACCATCCACCTCATCCAACCATGGTTGAGGCTGAGGTTAGACAGCTGTAAAAATTTGGAACTTCCAGATGTCGGAAAATGGCACATAACATTAATTATGAAGAAGATTTTTTAAACCTCTGAACGAGGGGTACGCCACTGCACTGGTTAATAATATACTGCCTTATCAACCACACTGCATGACAAGTGTTTTTTTGGTATATTATTGTTTGCATTTGCAATAGTTACACATTTGAAGTTCATTTGGATAATGTTATTTTAGGTCATCTTTACAGTAATTTTCTGTTTTCAGTTTATTTCTATAAATTTTAGATTTACTACTAATTTAATATGTATGTTAAGACATATCGTTAGTATCATTATTATAAGGTAATAAAGTTACCTTGTGTCTATCGAATTAACTAAAAACAAAACAACATTTACTATAGTACCATAATACAATATTCTGCGTCTAAGCAGCAATTATAGAAGTTGTTTGTGTCAGCAAGTATTGACTAAACAACGAGTCAGTCACGAAAATATAAAACTTACGTTGCAAAAAGACATAGGTCTTAAATACAATTACGGGACCATTTTAACACTCCATTTGAAATAAAAGCAGTGCCACATAAACTTTTTATAAAGCGCAGCGGCACTTATGAAGCCATGAAATAAAATCACATAATCACGGTGTCAACCACACGAAGATGATAAATCTAGTAACATTAAAACACAACAGTAGCTTTTTGATGGATTGTAATCACCGTTAATTCCAGGAAAGGAGAAAAAAAAATTGTTGACGAATCATTCCAATGGAAAGCTATCTAAACGAAGTTGACTACATTTGTCAGACGATAAATCACATAATAATATGACGATTTCAACAGAGAAAACATACAGACGGATATATATTGATCTTCAAGATCTCAGTGAAATAAATTGACATAAATACAATTATGATTAAGTCAACCTTTTACATGTTGCTTTTATGAAACCTGATTTACAGGCATTATTATAATTAAATACGTCATATCTTCCGTCACACTTCACGATTCGAAAACTTTTTAGTCTATAAGTACACATTGTTTTATTTGATACACATTATAACGACAAGATGTCGATTTCGTGTAACATTTTGATCTCTTTTATTGAAGGTGTCAATAATGGGGTATTATTATCATATACCAATTTGAGAAATATATCGTAGTACAATTATTTTAAATGTCTTACCATTATTGGTATATTTTGAGATCCTACTTATCCATTAAAATATCATAAAAAATAATTTTGCAAAAAAAAAAAAAAAAGAAAAAATCTACAAAATATTAAACGAGGACTTGTCACGCTACAAAAGCAACACGTGTAAGAATTTATTATTCAAATTACGTTAATACAGTACAGAGAAAAGACCAGCAGAGTATTTATTATGTACCATCCAGTGAGTGAGGCTGATACAAACGCGTATATGTTCACTAAATATAATGGAATAAAATGTAATACAAAGTGACCATGTTAATAACTGAAATAAGTCAATACGTGACGAATAAGGAATGTTACATCCATCACAAAATTTTAGCATGTATTGTATATACTCCATTTTTAACATATTCTTTACCAGTATTCCTATCTTACTTGCTTTAACATTATAAAAATTATTATTGGGTCATGTTCTTCTCTATTCAAAAGGTAATTTGACTTTCACTTGCAAAGGTCTTTCTAAAATTATAGTTACCGTAGCAGTATTCATTATTATGCTTTAGAACATTTTGTTATATATGGCAATATTTGCAGCATTTGGCTGACTTGCCTTCACAGAATGATTATTTAAATGATACTCCTGGGGGGGGGGGGGTCGTCGACGTCCAGACCTCCCCACCACCTTTAACATGTTAGAGTGCTTTTTAGCTGACAAAAAAGTGTGAAGATGTCGGGTAAATAGCAGCTTTTTTTCTTCTTGTAGGGGTGTAGGGGAAATCGAGTGATTTATGAGAATAATTTTTCAGGCTAATTGTTGGCTTTTTTAAGTCTCTAAAAAGATGGGAGTGTGACAAGACAGAAGACGGTTCGCCAAGTAATTTTAACTTATGTTAATTTATACAGAAGTTCCCTTCTTCCTGTTCCCTCCTGCAAATATCTGAACCCGCCCAAAATACCTCACAGCCTCGCAAAAGGCCGCCCAAAGCGGCCTTTTCACGAGTTATTCAAAATATGATCAATATGTTATGCTAAAAGTCGTTGGTGTTTCTTGTTCAACCACATGGTTGTGTTTGGTGGAAATGAACTGGTTAATCAGCTTTTAAAAAGCTGACGAATTTAACCAAAAAAAAAAGAAGTTAAACTTCAATTATAATCTCCTAAAACTAAACCATCAAATCAAATCAGGTCAAAAACAGGCCCTACTAGTCATTTCTGCTGCCATCATTATTCCTGATGATGCTTAAATAAAAGCGAAACGTTGAATAAAAATTCTGATGATCACTAGGTAATTGCAATTCTCATTATCAATAAATGCATTGTCAATCCGAGTGCACTTCTGGTGACTATAGGATAAATTGCCATTCTAATGGTCACTGGATGGATGTCATTCTGGTGATGTGCCATTCTGATGATCACTAGGTAATTGCAATTCTCATTATCAATAAATGCATTGTCAATCCGAGTGCACTTCTGGTGACTATAGGATAAATTGCCATTCTAATGGTCACTGGATGGATGTCATTCTGGTGATGTGCCATTCTGATGATCACTAGGTAATTGCAATTCTCATTATCAATAAATGCATTGTCAATCCGAGTGCACTTCTGGTGACTATAGGATAAATTGCCATTCTAATGGTCACTGGATGGATGTCATTCTGGTGATGTGCCATTCTGATGATCACTAGGTAATTGCAATTCTCATTATCAATAAATGCATTGTCAATCCGAGTGCACTTCTGGTGACTATAGGATAAATTGCCATTCTAATTGTCGTTAAATGGATGCCATTCTGGTGATGCCATTCTGATGATCATAGAATTAGTTGCACTCTCGGTAGTTGACCCTGTAATCTTAATATAATAGTGGTTGTTTATCAGGAAAGTACCGGGTGCACAGCCCAATGTTTAATTTCGGATGGGCAACCCTGGTAACTATTCAGAGATTCCACTAGCTGTGATTTTGTAAGAAGAATGTTCATTGGTCGATATTCTTTCTGAGTGCGTGTTGAGTTATCTGCTGGGTGAACAAGTTCTATAGCAACAAGCTGTTCAAATGCCTGAAAAAAACAAAACAATATGTCTCAAGGAATTTCCAAATAGGCTACAAACTTTTATGTGCAATCTAAATAATGTAATAGTAAAATAATGATTGATATTTGTATAGAGTCAAATCTGCTTGAGTGCTCACCAAGCAAACCAAATCTGGGACCAAATGAAAGCATAGACGAAAATACATAGAAGGATCAATTAGGTTTCTGTAAACTGTTAAACAGGTGCTTCTTGTGACATGATTTAAGGCAGTGACATTTTCTAAAGATCTAAACTTAAACTGCAGTTAATTTAAAGATTTTGGAGGAGTAGCTAAAAATAATCATAAGATTTAAGGATATACTGTACTCTTTGCACTGAGCTAATTTTCCACTGAAAATTAAAAATGCTCCAGTTTTTTGCATCATAGAACTCAGTTCAAATTGGCTCTTTGATTGGTCCTCACATAGAGGATTTTACATTGATTGATTGATTGACTGATTGATTGAGAGATAGGCGAGTTAAGAAATGTTTGTGTCCATATGTATCTGTTACAAAGGTCCAATTTCCAAGTTGAATAAGGATAATTACTTCAGCTCCAAGAGTGTTTCCCCGCACTTCTCAGGTGCTTTTCCCCTGGATCACTAGGCTCCCCTGGTTACTGGCCTAACACAGTTGACAAAATCAAAAAGTGCTAGAGTTAACCATGTATGGGAAGACATGAACTTGTAATATAAGTTAATTTGCTGGCATTATTTTCTGCTTCTAAGACTTTGCATTTCAAGCACATAGAGACATGCTTAATAAATATACAGCCATTACCATTACTTGTTGTAATGAATCCAGAGCTTCTATTTACCCATCTGAGAATGAGTTTATAGAAATAACATCGCTGTGGGAATTGGGATTAAGCTACATCTAATCCATAAGAGCTTGAACCTGATACAATGTCAAAATTAATGTTATTATTATCTCAATAGATTTACAACATATTAGAGTGTAATGTGTTCTAAATCAGTATGAAATTGGAAAACTTCTCCCACCACTGCTACACATAAAAAATGATATTAAAAGACTGTATTAGATCTATTCTTGAAAATGTTGATGATAAATTATCGACTACTTGATTGGCAGAAGATATTTCCCATGAGCTTTAGGTACACGATTACTGAAATGTGTTCAGCAAAAAATAATCTAAGAGAAGTTTATGCTGAGCAGTGACATTTAAAGTAAAGATATAAATCAAAGATCTAAAAACAGGGATAATAAAAATGGAAGTACTGAATAGTGATACCTTAAGCACAATTGCCTTGTCATAACTTTGAATTGAATGTGATTTCTTCTGTAAAAACTTTAAATATTCTGGAAGAAAAAAAATTCCAATTAAATTGGTTGTAAGGTTTTATGATATTCTGTTTTCATATTGATAAATGAGTAAGGAAAGATTTTTTTTAATACCTTGTTTAGCGAAACCCGTCGCCCGCCAATAATGATGATTTCAAATAAAAATACAATTTTATTTTTGCACAATTAGCGCACACGCCACCACAAAACAATGGAAATTTCAGAAAAAAATAAAAGCTTTTCTCTATTGCAGCATGCATTGAAATCTTCAAAAATATGTATGTATGTGTGTGTGTGGGTGTGTGTGTGTGTGTGTGTATGTGTGTGTGTATGTATGTATGTATGTATATATATATATATATTTCTTCATAATTTTATAAATGGGTAATTCCATGTCAAATCAACCAAAAAAAAACCTCAATCTCTCGGAATTTGTTCAAATTTTTGTATGTTGTTGGGACCCATGAAAAACGATCAGAAATGAAAAATTTTTTCTCTAGGCCTCCTAATTAGCGAGATATCTGCTAACGAACTTTTGGCTAATTAGCGATACCTTGCGTGTTTAACCGACCATATCTCGAAAAGTATGGCACCTACAGAGCTGATTTTGGTGTCATTTTAAAGCTATTGAGTAGCTCTATAAGTTTATTAATAAATGCTAAGTCCTCAATTCAAATATAAAAAAGTTATGACAGGTTGTAAAGTTCAAAGTTGAATAAAAAAAATATATATCTTTTTTTTTTTTTGAAATTCATGTTAGAGATACCTAATAATGTAAAGAAGCTTCCCTATAAGTTTGGTGATGGGCGCTCCAAAAGTTCCTGAACAATGAGCAAGTATTATGTATACTTGTCAATTCGAAATTGCATTTTCCGTATAATAACACAGTATTGTACCTATATAAGAAAACCAATAGTACACCATACTGCTTAGTTTTATATGTAGGTATGAGAAAATTAAACTTGCATCACTTGAAAATTCTCAGGTGGAAATTCCTTGGGATTTTCCAGGTGGATATTTCTTTGAATTTCAAAATAGGAACCTGGTATTCCCATTGGAAAATCCCAGATTAGCACTGACCTACAGTATCAGGATTTTTCAGAATAGTTTCTGAAGTCATTTCAAGATGTCACAAAGCAAGACTCATTATATATTAAGGCAGACTTTCTGCTTTGATCCATTTGGAGTACATAAAAAAAAGAACAAATCAGGTTTAAGGGAAGTAACTGAAAAGCTTATTGCAGACCATCCAAATCTTAATCTTAAAAGAGGACAGAAGATTTGCACACAATGCCGCAAGAAGCTTGCAAAACAACAGCCAGAATTAAAAGTGTGTGAGTTTATTTATTGTAATAAATTACCATTCCTTGCCTGCCTTTAATATATTTAATACATTGAACATTCTAGACTAACATTTAATTGACCAAATAAACAATGTAAACTACATTGGTAATTATAGGAACACATGAAACCATGTAGAATCAAAGAGTAATATATTGAAAGCTTCTGGAATCTTGGGTACTATAGAGGTAAATAAGCCTAATTGGTTAACTATGAGGTAAGGTAACAATGAGGAACTTAGGCAATATGGAATGCTCTTGAATGCTCTGGAGTTGTACAGCTAGGTTATATAAGCTTTCTGGAGCTCTATTTTGAAACGCATGTTTATGGGAATGTTGTTGTGTTATTTTGATACCGGATTATTGTTGGAGTTTATATAAAATAAAAGTTTATTCTGAGCTGTGTTTGTATTTTATATGTCAAAGAGGGATTCCTTAGATATTTTTTTTTACACCTAGGAATTCATGGCAATTGTCAATATCTCGATTCCTTTATGTGTTGGTGTCACCTTAGTTATTTGAAAAAAAAGAACTTAATAACAAAAATAATTTAATAATTTATTTGTTTAGAAGGATCATATCATCCTAACATTTCTAAATCATATTCAGTGGGCACCAAAATATTTTGTGTGTTTCAGGCCATTTTGAGCATTTCAAAAGTTTGACACACGCGTACGCTGTCTCTTATACAATGTACTGATCAGTTTATTGAACATTAATATGCTTCTTAAAATAATGATTCCATAATACAATATAATGTAATTGAAAAATGTCCTAATTTTTGAAATTGCATGCAGTAATATGTATAATTGCTTGCTGTTAAGGAAGTGTCCATCACTAATTTATATTGAGACTTTTTATTTTACATTGTAATTCAACTTTAAAACCTAAATTCCTAAATGAAGAGTTACTTTTGGTTATACTACAGTATACACATATTAGCACACATTACTCTGTTAATGTACAAAAAGTGGTTTCAGACTTTCTTGACTCATTTGTAAGTGGTCTTCAAAAATTATTACCTCATGATTTCATTGCAAAGCAACAAGCGGGTTACCTCCAAGATCTAAGGAGTACACTTGAACCAGGAATAGTCTTGGTCATTGCAGATTTTGCTGTGAATTTCAAAAAAAAAAAAAGATATATATTTTTTTTATTCAACTTTGAACTTTACAACCTGTCATAACTTTTTTATATTTGAATTGAGGACTTAGCATTTATTAATAAAGTTATAGAGCTACTCAAAAGCTTTAAAATGACACCAAAATCAGCTCTGTAGGTGCCATACTTTTCGAGATATGGTCGGTTAAACACGCAAGGTATCGCTAATTAGCCAAAAGTTCGTTAGCAGATATCTCGCTAATTAGGAGGCCTAGAGAAAAAATTTTTCATTTCTGATCGTTTCTCATGGGCCTCAACAACATACAAAAATTTGAACAAAATCCGAGAGATTGAGGTTTTTTTTTGGTTGATTTGACATGGAATTACCCAAATTTAAATATATTACCATCCCATTACTGAATCCCATTACTAGGTTTTGTGATGCAAACCATTTCAGTTTCTGCTGCCGTTTTGTAATTGTTTTTTATATGTTTATACCTGAATAAATAAATAAATAAAATTAGTACACTGTTTACATTCAACAATAACATTTTATTTTTATTTTCTACTCCATCTGAAAGTTTTTGGCAAAACCATTTGCTAAAAAAAAAAAAAAAAAAAAACTCTATTTTTTTTTTTGCCCTCCTCTAATGATTTAAGTTTGCGAAACAAGGTATACAAAAATTCTTGCCTAACTATCACAACTTTTCATAGCTAGTGGCCATGTTCTCACACAGCAGCTAACGGTTAGCAAGATCCGGATCCTGCTAACCGTTAGCTGCTGTGCGTCCATACGAGAAAATCCCGATCTGGATACCAACAATATGATGATCGAATTACTGGCCAATAAGAACCTGAAATTGTTAACGCGTACATGTGATTGGTTGATGATAGAAATGCCCTCAACTTGCTAACCGATAGCGCTTGCTAACCGCTAGCGTATCCGGATACCGCTAACGGTTAGCACTAACCGATCGGGCGTTCTCATGCAGGTGCTAACGGTTAGCACTAACGTTTAGCTCCCGATCCGGATACTAGGGCTCTTGTGAGAACCAGGCTTGTGTTGTAATGGTACTCCAAACACTGTTGGTTCAAATTCCACATCAGTTTACTTACTTTACTGAAATTCACGGAGCAGTTAATATCTTTTTATATTGCACCTCATAAAACATGTTTAAATATAGTATTGGAACAATTCTATTATACGAGACCTATTTATGCACCACTACTAACAACCATGATAAAATTTCTCATCATATCTTCTTATGTACTGTAATAACAACAAAAGGTATAAAGACTCTAATATATTATTAATTTAATTTCAAGCCCAGTGGAGAAATTTGTTTAAATATTTACAAAACACTAATAAAGATTTCTGAATAACTATTAAAAACAAATACATAAGGCCCATTTTATGTATTATGATTTATAGCTCAATTTTTTTTCTTACGTTTTTATATGCATCATAACAACAAGACATGCATATCTATAGCATTTAATATACCATTTCAATATCTCAAATTATATGGCAAATTGTGTATACACAAATAAGTCATGGTTATTTTTGTTACTGTATATAAATTTCATTTCTTGTTTTATATATTTAAGTTAAAGAAATATTGTCCCTTGCAAAATACCAAAAAATTGTAACTATCAAAAAAAATCATAAAAAATAATTTTGAAATTAACTTGCTCATTTTGCAGTAACATACAAATTATTAAATTGAGCATAAAAATTATTTAATTAAAAAAATGTGTACCCTGATTTTAAACTAGTAATTATAATAAAGATAATAAAACACTTTCAGTGACTGGAAGTATTTCTATCATTTTACACTGTAAAATGATGTGTAAACATTTTTTAAATACACTAATTTCTATGTCCAAGTTGATAATTTTTATGTTACTTAAAAATGGGCAAGTTAATTTCAAAATTATTTTTTATGATTTTTTTTGCCACTTTCAAGGGACAATACATCCGAACTCAAAATTCTATGAATTCTACAAGGGTAATAACACAGAATTTACTTTACTTTACTCAATTTTCTTATTATGTTACTACATACTTGCAATGGTTATACAGGTGCTATAAACATATTAAAATAGCATTATACGAATTTTGAAATAAACGTATCCATACATCTTTACACTTGTTTCTGCAATGCATAGAGACATTTGTATTTTGGCCTTTACAAATTTAATTCCATTTGAAATCATTTAAATGTACATATGCTGAGCAACATGCTACTGACCATTGTATACCATCTCAAAGTTGAATGGTTCACCCTCTGTTATGTCCACCAAATGTCGCATAGCTATAATGAGGCAAAGCTGCAGAACAGATACACCTGTCAGGACAAGAAAACATAAATTAACACATTTTGAATCACCGCAGACAACAATAATACCAACATTGGAGAGAACAGCTTAGCTCAGACGACTAAACTGGTGGTAGTCACTATGTGTGCGCTGAACTGCGGAGATCTCTTGGTCCCATCGTTTCTCTCATTGTGTTTCAGCTAGATGGCTGAAATGCAAGTTTCAATAGCGTACAGTACCTTCTTTCGGATGAAACGTTTAAGCTGTTGGCCATCCTTGTGCAATACAGCCCATGTGTATGTTAAAAAACGCAGTACACTTTTCAGAAAACAGCAGGAGATTGTCTTTTTGTGTACTGCCCAGTGGCGGATCGAGAAATTCAGAATAGAGGGGGCCCAGGAAGGTACTTTCACAGATGGAGGATCTATACCACCTCAGACCCACCATGGTTGGGGCTAAAGAAAGAACATTTGTGATTATCACACCTCTAGATGGCCGGAAATTGCACTCTCAAGCCTGAAAATTTGAATATAATTTTCTTTAAATCTCCATATTTTTAAACATTTTTAGAACAATTTAGGATGGGCCCGGCCGGCTGGGGTCCACTCCCCCCCCCCCTTGAATCCGTCACTGCTGCCAATCACCACCAGAAGGACTCCACTGAAAATAAGTGTTCTTCAGTTGTGGGTTATTCTTTGTGTTTACACTGAATAAATCCAATCCAATAATAATCATATTTAATAACATCAGCTTCCTTGCTCTCTATTTATTTTTGTTTTTTAAAAAGGTCCAGTGTTTGTGCACAGTTAGAAAGCCTCTAGATATTTATTTATTTATGTACTCTTTCTTTCTTTAGAATACTGCTAAAAAATATTTTTTATTTGTCTTTTATTATTGATGTAATGTTTACTGTAATGTTTGAGCCCTGTCTCTAATATGACAAAATGTTTACTCGTTTCCTTTTATCCACTCATGTTTCCTATTGTAAATGCTAATGTTTTTATAGAAAATAAAGTCAGGAAAAAACCACATCAGGATTTCTGCAACAGCCTCTATATATCTATTATCCCATTCATTGAAACAAATGGAACATATACTGAACTGCCTAGGGAAGTAGCTCATCATTATGGAGTTACTAATAGCACTTTGCTATTTGATTCATTCCTCTCTAGATAAAAAAATAAAAGCAAAGCTGTTCATTCTCTCTCCAGGCATTCTATTATTTATTACATTGCGCCATTTGTTTTTTTTTGTGTATATTTTACTGAGAAAATTAAACTGAAGTAGGGTAAATGTACAGCAAGAAAAAAGAAACCACTTGAACAAGTTGAAAGCATTTTGTTTGAAGAAGAGCAGCTTTAGCTCAGTTGGCTAAATTGGTGGTAGCCACTGTGTGTGCGCTCAACCAGAGATCCATAGGTTGCTGGTTCAATTCCATCGCTGCTCTCCTTGTGTTTCAGCTGGAGGGCTGAAACACAAGTTACGATAGCGCACCGTCTTTCGGTTGAGACCTTTAAGCTGTTGGTCTTGTGTGCATTATGGCCCATGTGCACATTAAAGAACACAGTACACTCTTCGGAAAAGAGTAGGGTATTGTCTCCCGGTGTACTGCCCAATCACCACCAGAAGGACCCCACTGGAAATAAGTCTTCTTCTAGACTTTCGTGGGCTATCCTTGGTGGTTACACCGAATAAACTCATCCATCCAAATGTGTTAGATTTAAAAGTGCTGTCAATCACATCTATATTACTGAATACTGTAACCCTCTCAGAACATATGTACTATTTCAAATGTCAAATCCTTATGTAGGTTTTGCTTATCTCACCATGAAGCATAGCAGGCTTAGCATCCAATGATTGCAAACGGGCTGCTTCCACGAAATCGGCTGCAGATAGGTGCGGTCTGAGTGCTGACACTTTTGAAAGTGGGTACATCTGAAAGGTTAAGAAAAAAAAACTATTTTCCTTTAGGATATATTACACTGGACAAGTATTAATCTTGCAATGTTATGAAGCATCTGTGATTACGGTATAATATATTGATAGTTGAAAAAAAATGAAAATGTCATCTGTCAAATGTTCTACAGAAACTTGAACAACATAAAAAAAACCATGTTACATAAAGAATACAGTGATCTGTGAAAATAGGCAGCCATTATGTTTCAAGTCATTTAATCTGCGCACCACACATTAAACTTTAATGCTGTGTTTCACATTAATACTTAATTTTAATTGTTTATTAATCCGATACATGAAGTATTGTTATAAAGCTTTGCATGGCAAATCAATGAGATCAATGCGTCACAATGCTTTTGTCCTTAGGCAAGACACTTTATCTGCATTCCCCTCTCTTCAGCCAAGAGTATAATAGGGTACCTGGTAGGAGGTGAATGATTTCAGAATTGATTAGTAATGCTGATCAGGGGCGGATTTAAAGGGGGGGGGGGGCGGGGCCGGCCTCCAGTCGCTCTTTTTTTGAAAGTTAAAAAAGAAAAAAAAAAAGAAAGGAAAAGAACAAATTGATCGGCCAAAATGCCTCAAAGATTATTTTTGGATGTCTGAAAACAAAAATTTTGCGGGGGAATGCCCCGGATCCCCTTTGGTGGTGTTATCTCGATCGGCCCCACTTTCGGCCCACCTTTTAGACATCTCTGGATCCGCCCCTGCTGATTACACGCATAACTGGGAATACTCCCCGAAGGTTGCACAGTGTGTATTATTGATTCTGTGAAAAGATTGACTCTGGTAAAGAGTGCTAGGCCTATATAAAAAATAAAATAAAATTATATAAAACTTTATTTTGCAATATGTATGGATTGGTAATCCTTGGCACAGTGTCTAAATGAACAAAAAGTATCTTTTCTCAGATATTCAAATCATGGATATGCCCATTCATACACTGCTGAACTAAAGTATCACATTGCAAACAAACTTACAAATAGAATTTGAAGAGAGTGTATATCCTTATGAACTTCATAGTGTTTTTTCATAACATCAAGTATTGTCTTGTCTTGGAATGCCATCTATTAAAGGTAGGATAAGAACGATAGGTTAATCTTAGGTACCATTACTCCTAACAGCTGCTCCATTCACTTATTTATCTAGGGTCAATAAACACTTCTTATTTTGTTTTTTTCCCCCATTTTATCTATAGTTTTACCATTAACAAAATGTTAATGACAATTATAAAACATTCCGATGTAGTTTTTGTGTCAGGAGGAAAAATAAGAATGATGTTTGACCTACCTGACCTGCTCAGTACGTTACCAAATGGTTGCGAGGCTAGCTTAATGCTGGCTGGTGATCAATCCGATCCCCAAGTAGCAGCAGTACTGCGATGCTATTCTGAGCTCTTTTCTTTTTGAAGGGGAAGGGGGAGAGGGAATCAGATTCATCACTTGCCACCAAAGATCTTATAACGATAAGATAGAAAGATAGAATTTCTCCGCGTTTTCTGCATGCATTTAACACAGTGTAGTGTGCCCTCTTGCAAAAGTGATATCTTCTCAACTTCGACATCAAAGATTATGAACTAAAGATAGCACTTCTCACAAATTCTGCATGCGAATCTCTAACCACCACCATGGTAACGACTAGGATACCCTCTCTCAAAATGATTACTTTTTATGCTTCTTTTTATTGAACATCAAGGCTTCTATTTGTTACAAGTAAATCGTGGAGAGCGCTATCTTGTTATTATATCTTTGCTTGCATCCAAGCGCAATCTTGGGAGTCGAGTGGTTAAGACACCAGGCTAGTTATCTGGAGGGCATGGGTTTGTTTCCCACACAAAATACTTGCGAGATTTTTTTGGCAAGCATTTGGGAATGACTGAGCATTCAGCACGATAACATGTCAAATAGGGCAAACATCATTTGAAATAATAAATAAAGTAGGTAAATAGAGCCATTAGGGCATATAAGGTTGAAGTTTATTCCCTGTTTCTGTTGTGATACTTCTCCTTGATGGATGTTAGTTTATCGCAGGTTACTCCCAGCAATTTGCTGACCGTACCATTGATACAGATGGGTGGACTGTAGATAAAGTGGATTGTCATAGATACTGTAATTTCACTGTGATCCTCTGTCAGATTAGCACATAAATGAGAAAAAAAAAATTGAATACAAAACATGGAGAACAACCATTATAACAAACAATGCTACTATAAACATGAATAAAATAGGAAAATGCCTACAACTTTATACCTTAGACTTGGCGTATTTTTCGTTGGTTGTTTAAATGTTTTAAGAGAACAACCAATACCCAGTCCTTTTCAAAATCATTCATGCATACAAAATCATACCTTCAAAGCCAAGTTATATCATATTATGAGGACAGTGAAATGAAAAAAACTTGTTTAATTCAAATGCTTCCAGTTCAAGGATAAATTTCAGTAGATAGAAGGGAGTGAATGTTGACATGTGCAAGTATTTTCAGATAACATCACATGTCATGTTATTATGAAGTGACATCTGTTAAGGTGGAATAAGAATGATGAAGGTTAATCTACCTACTAACAAACAGCTGCTCATTTACACATTACCTATGGAAGGGTTATATAAACATCATTACTTTTTTATTTTGTTTTTAGCAACAAAAGTTAAGTAGATTAATTATTGCATCCTCAAGGCTTAGCATTGTGCAATTTGCTTGTATCCAGTAGCCTAGGTATGTCCTTTTCATAAAGTAAAAACTTGTTAACCCTTTCCAGTCTGCCCCATTACCATTGCCTGAGGCTGTACCAAAGCTGGGAAATTACTTCATCTACCTACACTAAATGCCAGGTTTTTACTGGGCACAGGCATTGTATTTGGTCTAAATACAGGAGGCCCTCTACAGAAATACTCCTATATCACACTTAAAAAATCCCATAGATGGCAGCCTAGCTATAAAATAATTATCATGAAAGCTATACAGGGCGTACGTACGACGCCCCTCGCTATAAATTATGGTTGAAGAGGGCGTCGTCGCGACGCCATACGACTGGAAAGGGTTAATTATAAGAAGAAGCACAATGTTTTATTCAGATTTGCTTGTATGGTAATGCATTATATATAATAGAGTAAGGTACTCAAGCCATATGTTCCACCATTGCTAACACTGGTTTGCCAAAATGATTATCAGGAAATCAACAAATGAGCAAGGTAATCTAGATCACTATGGGGGAAAGGATGTCTGTTTCCCACTTGCGAATTTATTCGAGAGAGTCGAAAGTGTCGGTTCATGAGCATGCACATTCACAATTCCGTTGGAGTTTTCGCTTCAAAAAGCGAAAAAAAGTGCCCAACCAATCAGAGTTCAGGAACCGGACTACCTAGTGGAAAACAGGTTTAAGAATGGTCTGAAATCAAGGAAAACTATATCTGACAAATGCTTGATTGTGATTAGCACCCAGTGTTCTCTCAAAGCCGTTTTAGCCATCAATTTTACCAGTAAAAATAACTGACCAACCAGTAAAAATTGTGTGGTGGTACAATACAAAAAAAGCACTTATTAGGCCTAGGTAGCCTAGGCTGGCCTTCTTTCAATAAATGAACATCATTCCAGTCCAGGCCTAGGCTATGACTACTATATATGTATTGTTTTTTGAAGCCATTGAATTCCACTTTGCGCGTGCTTATGGCTTTATATGAAAAAATTTACCAGTAAACATTTTTCAATCGGGAGAACACTGCTATTTCAAGCAAATACCATGTTACAAATGACTCAGTAATTTATCTGATAACAACAGGCAGAATATGATTGATTCTATCCTCATAAGCGCAAGGCAACAATCAAAGATGTGTCAAATTGGTATAGCACATTCCTAAGTGTAGATCTGGTTCAGGTTAAAAAAAAAACATAAAAGGTTAAAAAACAGGCTGAGAAATGGGACAAGCAGAACAAGATATTGACAACTGAAAAAAATCATCTGGATCCAAAAGTTATTACTCCATGTGTTTCCTTCTTGATGATTCAAAATCTGAAATGTATACAGTAATAATATTTTGTTATTTGGTTATTTATATAGTGCCCTTCCTCTAGGTTATGAAGTGTTCTGTTTCCCTGGTCATTGGGTCCACATGCTTAAGTGTTGCTGCCATATTGGTGCAGTAGCAGGCAACCCCACCAGGTACCCACTTTTACTCCGGGTGGAGAGAAGCAATGCAGATAAAGTGCCTTGCTCAAGGACACAAGTGAAGTACACAGCGAGGGATTGAAACTCCGTCCTCGAGGTTGGGAATCCAAACCATTCACGCTACACCAATCTGTTTCCGCTTTCAATATTGTCAAGTTTGGAGAAACCATTGGAGTTTTGAAAACAAGATGAATTGAACACCAAACCGACCAACCAAGATGAAACCAAACCAACCAACTAAGGTGAAACCAACCAACCAAGATGAAACCAAGCCAGTCAAACAACCAAGATGAAACCAAACCAACCAACCAAGATGAAACAAACCAACCAAGATGAAAACAAACCAACCAACCAAGATGAAACAAACCAACCAAGATGAAACCAAAAAAACCAAGATGAAATGAACATAAAAAATAACACAACTGGTGTAAGAGGCAGGGCATGTCAAGACCCCGCTTTCCCCATTGAAAATGACCAGTCACCAAAAACATCAAGATGACTAAAGGCACATATCAACCTCAAAAACACTGAGGTGAGGTGTCATCATGACCAACCAGTCATTCAAGATTCAAGATGCTTTATTGCAAATTTAAGGAAAATTTTAAATATACAGAAAAATTTTAAGTAATATTAAAAATGTTTAAAATATTTAAAATACACCAGTTAAATCATTTAAAATAAAAATTAGGAAGACACATTACAATATTAAATAACTAAAGGAAAATGTACAAAAATTGAAAAAAATTTAAGAAACAAAAATACAATAACAACAATCATAACACTATAAATAACACTTATTTCCTAAATAATCCTCTTCCTACAATAAACCTTTTCTAAGCGCCTTGTATCCTTTGGCAAAAGGCGCTATATAAATTTCTATATTATTATTATTATTATTATAAAAAAATGGTACATTAATAAGGGAGACATAAAAATAAACAACATACAATAACATCAGCAGTTACACTTTCTTAACATGCTGGTGGATCAACAGTAAATCATGTAAGTTCAATATATCTCCTTATACTTTGGGTCATAAACAAAAAAACAAAAACATTGTATATAATGGTATTGATATGAAGCACATGTTACTACAATTGATCACCCTAATCTTAAACTTAGAATACAGAACAAGGGAGAAAAATAGTGTGGTAATGGAAGCAAACATCCCACCTGAATATTGTGTTCTTTTTTAATGTTTTTCATACCTTCACATTTTCATGCCATTGCTTCATAAAACTTTTATCTTTGAAATCCTTTGGTAATTGCAACTTTTTTTCGGCAACCTGCATGAACTGGTCAAAGGTCAAGGTATTGAATACATGTATTTGACGATGAGAAAAGCGAGACTTGACTCTTTTCTCCAGCAGTTCAACAACATCCTAATACCATGAGGAAAATATTGTTCAGTTGACAAACACATTGCCTTAAGATATATTGTGAAAATAAGCAAAAACATAATTCCTACTCATGTTCAACAACTGGAAGGCAAAAAATATAAAAATTATATAAATTAAATGTGATATAAATAATAATAAGAACATACAGTATAAAACAAAAATTTAATGTATGTGTGTGTATATATATATAT